GATTTAGGTATGTATTGTCCCCCATCGCCAGGGAAGATACACATTGTCACTTCAAAGAAGTGGTTCACTTGTTTGTTCAATACATTTGCAATGTTCTCTAGTTGTGATTAATGCCTTGCAAGTCATACTTGGGGGAAAAAAGCTCTGGTGCGCTTGTTTCAGCAACTAGAAGTGAGCAACATCAGAGGAGGGATTCAGACGCCAGGATTTGGAGTCTTATCTCCTGAATATTTTGACATTTTGCCTCAGACTGGCCAACATCAACGTGACTCTATCACTGAGTCGGTTTGTCCTGCAACGCTGATATTTTATCTCCATAAATAAAACAAGTCTTAAGGAGTTCTGCTGTTTAGTGGAGTTGCAAATGGTTAGTTTCTACTGGCTGAGATGTTCTCTGCTGTTTCTTGAATGCCAAACCAACAACAGCCGTCCCCATCATGATCAAGATGGGCGAGTCCATGAATGTTGACAGTGTGATGTAGATCTCTGTCAGGATTTTCTAATCCCAGAGTTTCACCTGATGTAGGAGTTGTTAATGCAGGAGATAGGTGTAGGAGACTATTTTAAGGTTCGGCCTGCTTGAAAACCAGAGTGACTGATTATAATCAGAAATGAACATTAAACATGTTTTTTTTTCAGTGTTCCACACCTCGTACCGCGCTCAGTAGCAGCCATTTGCCTTGACTCACGGGGGGTTTGAGAAAACAGAGCACGCGCGCACATACACACACACACACACACACACACACACACACATACACACACACACCTAAAAAAACAGCATAAGTAAACACTTGGCTGACTTTAGATGGGTTAGGTAGTGAATGACATGTCATCAGGTGAGGCATCTGCCTCGGCAGTAGTTGATAAATGGAGATAAAATATCAGCGTTGCAGGACAAACCGACAGCCAGGGGCGACGGTGGCACAGGAGTTAAGTGCTCGCCCCGTAAATGGAAGGTTGCTGGTTCGAGTCCCGCTCAGTCTGTCGCTGTGGTGGTGTTCGGAGGGACCGGTGGCGCCAGTGCTCGGCAGCCTCGCCTCTGTCAGTGCACCCCAGGGCAACTGTGGCTTCATCGTATCTCATCCCCACCAGTGTGTGAATGGGTGAATGACTGATTGTGTTGTAAAGCGCCTTGGGGGGTTCTAGGACTCTAGAAGGCGCTATATCAAATACAGGCCATTTACCATTTACCATTTAACAGCCAAGGCACCAACCCAGGGCGCCCAGGGAGGGAGGGCAGAAACCCCCACCACCACCTAAGCACACCCCTAGGAGCGCCCAGGCTGCCACAGTCAACCACCACCCCTGAGGCAGAGGGCCCCACAGAGGAAACACTAGAATGTTTAAAATAAGTATATCCTAGTATGTGCACAGCTATGAAGGTGAATACAGAATGCGGCTAGTGCAAACTTGACTAAAAGAGGTATGACAAACACGTATTATTATTAAATGGTAACTACAGTTTTGTTGCTACATGAACCTTATTTCCACTCTGCAATAAGTTCATTTACTCACCTAGAGAACTTTGGTGCTATTTGGAAACTGAGAGACATCCATCTACGATCAGCGTATATCCATGATGAGAATTGTGATAGCAGCAGTGCAGCCTCTAAATAAGGCATTATCTGCTACTAAAGTGCTTCACTTCACCAATGATTTGAAATGAGTCACTAGCACTATTCCCGTTAGTTTAGAGCATTCTTGGATGTGCTTTGTTACAGACCATTCATCCATCCATTGATTTTTGGCCGCTTATTCGGGGTTGGGTCGCTGGGGAAGCAGCCTAAGCAGGGAGACCCAGACTTCCCTCTCCCCAGCCACCTGGACCAGCTCCTAAGGCGTTCCCTGACCAGCCGTGAGACATAGTTCCTCCACCAAATACAGGTCCTTCTCAAAAATTTTGCATACTGTGATAAAGTTCATTATTGTCTGTAATGTACTGATAAACATTAGACTTTCATATATATTAGATTCATTACACACAACTGAAGTAGTTCAAGCCTTTTATTGTTTCTAATATTGATGATTTTGGCATACAGCTCATGAAAACCCAAAATTCCTATCTAAAAAAATTAGCATATCATGAAAAGGTTTTCTAAACAAGCTATTAACCTAATCATCTTGTTGGGGTTATTAGGAGCGAACAATTAGTAAGCTTTAACTTACTTTTGGATTCTTCAATAAATTCTGTAAATATGGGAATATTTACTGATTTATTAATTAATTAAGATATTCTTAGATATACGGGGCACCATTCCCCTTTAACCGGGGAAAAATTGAATCCAAAACTCTTATCAGTCTTTCTTGAAGTTCGTAGAATCCTTGGAGCAGAGACTTCTCTTCGACACAACAAAGCTACTGGAGACGAAAATCTGAATTTTATAACGTTTAATTAACAATTTGTCAAATGAATAAACAGTGGCATAAATGAATAATAACCATGTGATATAATAAAAGGATGTATATTCAAAATAATGTTCAAGGTGTTTTGTGTGTATGTATGTGTGTGTGTGTGTTTCTAAAATGGAGTCTGTATGCAAGATGGCTGACCCCTTTGTCTGGCTAAAGTGTGAGTGGCAACTTGCACTTTAACTTCCAAGGCACTTAGAATCATCAGTAACTTAACCTTAAATTCACTCAAAACATTTCAAAGGCTCATGAAACAACACAAAGGATTAATCACGAATAATATCTTTTAGTTTAACCACGTGGCCAAGCAGAAAACATTTAAAGATACCAAACAATGATCAATAAGCAGTTTATTTATTCAAAATGACCCGAAGGACGAATTGGGAGCGAAAGAGGAAAACACGAAGCTACTTTTTAAGCAATAGCGCGGTTTTATTGCTTATTCTGGACTATAGAGGAAACGGGAGAAGAAAAGGAGAGAGAAAAAATGAGTTTTCTGATCACCAGAAGAGCGAGGCGTCCCCCGCTGTTATGATTTGACGGTTCTCCGTTTTTTTCCGCAGTTTTCAGCGTCATCCGTCGGTTTGATGCTTTCTCCGTTGTTTGGCTCCACGAGTGTTTCTCCACGGGCTGGACACAAAGAGAACGAAGTTTCTTTTGTGCTGAGTTTGACAACTTACAGCGTCTCTGAGAGCTGAATGGAGCTCCGCTCGTTCCCACTCAGGTCCCGATGATGGTGGAGTGGTTTCCAGCGGTTGCGTGGCTCAACTTGGGCACTTAGAGCTTCCGCGTGCTCAAGTTGTCGGAGCGTTCGACAAGCGTGTCCTTACCGCCAGGTATCCTGGGCAAAAGAACGAGGTTTCTTTGTCTCTGCTGAAGATTTATGGTCTTAGTTCGCGGGAAAAGCTCCACGGCTTCCCGCACATGCGCAGAACGTGTTTCTGGTACTAGGCGGTGACATCACCCAATGCTTCTGTGTGCAAAGCATCATGGGAAATGAAGTTTCTTGGCGCTGATGTGATTATTTGCTTTTCAGAGCAATTTAAGCACAGTCATTTTGGAGAAAATCACTGCATAGTAAGTTCCTCATGAGGTCAGACCCTCAACAATCTGAATCAACTAATTAACTCTAAACACCTGCAAAATATTCCCGAGGCTTTTAAAATCTCCCAGCCTGGCCCATTACTCAAAACCGCAATCATGGGTAAGACTGCCGACCTGACTGCTGTCCAGAAGGCCATCATTGACACCCTCAAGCAAGAGGGTAAGACACAGAAAGAAATTTCTGAACGAATGGGCTGTTCCCAGAGTGCTGTATCAAGGCACCTCAGTAGGAAGTCTGTGGGAAGAAAAAAGTGTGGCAGGAAACGCTGCACAACGAGAAGAGGTGACCGGACCCTGAGGAAGATTGTGGAGAAGGACCGATTCCAGACCTTGGGGGACCTGCGGAAGCAGTGGACTGAGTCTGGAGTAGAAACATCCAGAGCCACCGTGTACAGGCGTGTGCAGGAAATGGGCTACAGGTGCCGCATTCCCCAGGTCAAGCCACTTTTCAACCAGAAACAGCGGCAGAAGCGCCTGACCTGGGCTACAGAGAAACAGCACTGGACTGTCGCTCAGTGGTCCAAGGTACTTTTTTCGGATGAAAGCAAATGTTGCATGTCATTCAGAAATCAAGGTGCCAGAGTCTGGAGGAAGACTGGGCAGAGGGAAATGCCAAAAAGCCTGAAGTCCAGTGTCAAGTACCCACAGTCAATGATGGTCTGGGGTGCCATGTCAGCTGCTGGTGTTGGTCCACTGTGTTTTATCAAGGACAGGGTCAATGCAGCTAGCTATCAGGAGATTTTGGAGCACTTCATGCTTCCATCTGCTGAAAAGCTTTATGGAGATGAGGATTTCATTTTTCAGCACGACCTGGCACCTGCTCACAGTGCCAAACCCACTGGTAAATGGTTTACTGACCATGGTATCACTGTGCTCAATTGGCCTGCCAACTCTCCTGACCTGAACCCCTTAGAGAATCTGTGGGATATTGTGAAGAGAAAGTTGAGAGACACAAGACCCAACACTCTGGATGAGCTTAAGGCTGCTATTGAAGCATCCTGGGCCTCCATAACACCTCAGCAGTGCCACAGGCTGATTGCCTCCATGCCACGCCGCACTGAAGCAGTCATTTCTGCAAAAGGATTCCCGACCAAGTATTGAGTGCATATCTGAGCATAATTACTTGAAGGTTGACTTTTTTTGTATTACAAACACTTTTCTTTTATTGGTCGGATGAAATATGCTAGTTATTTGAGATAGGAGTTTTGGGTGTTCATGAGCTGTATGCCAAAATCATCAATATTAGAAACAATAAAAGGCTTGAACTACTTCAGTTGTGTGTAATGAATCTAATATATATGAAAGTCTAATGTTTATCAATACATTACAGACAGTACTGTTGGATGACAGAACTGGTCACGGTTTTAAACCATCACAATTCAGGTTTGATGTTAGGAATGGGATTTGGAAAATAAATATACTCTAAAACTTTTGGTAAAGTTCAAGTATTACAAGACCTCAAAAAGGAAACAAGACCAAAAACAGTCAGTTTATTTGTTTTATTTAATGAAAAATTACAATTCCTTCAATAGACAAACAGCAAAACTGATCTGTGATGGGTAACAGACCACAGTTAGTCATCCTAAACCCATTTAAGGTGGTGGAACTGGGATTTCTCTTTGACAGTGGGGAGAATTACAGCAGCCCAGGATTTAGACAGGCACAGCGATAAGAGGAATATAATAATGTCTGCACTTTACTACAAAAGTCTGGAAATGTACAAAAATAAAAAAAAAAAGACCAGACTTTGTTTACCACATTTTTGTATCTCTTGACCAGTAAAGACCAAGGTGTTAGCGGTAAAAGCAAACACCGACCCAGTTCCTCAGTCCGGTTATTTCATCCGATCAGAAACCTGACGTGTGTACTATTGTAGTTTATCTTGAGAAAGAGTCCTGATTTAATCTCTCCATGTGACTGAGTCACTGTTCACACGCTGCTCTGGACAACATTCATGCTTTCATGAGTTATTCCATAAAGGCAGATCTCCTAAAACTAGAAACATTTATCTAATGATGATTGGATCATTCTGAAGGCTTTAAATGTGGGCTGAAAACATGCACATGAGACCAGAGCCCGGTAAACCTCAGCTGCTCTCTACTCCCTCACATGAGCTCGCTTCAACTGGTTTTACTGGCAGATTATCAACATGATGCAAATGACCAGATCAACAAGCATCTGAGACTGAAACAAATCGCATGCAAATGTCAAGACTGAGCCCACGTCACTGCAGTACAGCAACTCTAAACTAGCTCCAGTTTTCAGTTCCCAGACTTCCTGTGACATCAGAAATCAAACTCAAAATGAGAAAAGGACAGGGAGGACGTTGGGGAGGGGGCGGAGCTAGCACTACTGCTGAACTCAGACCTGCTCGTGTAATTAGTCGCCATCAGGCCTGGTAGATGTGGCTGAGAGGGGAAATAGCTGCGTACCTTAGAGCAGACGGCAGTTTAAGACAATGACCTCCTGAGAGATGGAGCTTCCTTGAATTGTGTAAAACTTTCCACATTATGAATGAAAACACAAAAGCTCACTGGTGTTTGTTTCCCTGCTAGAAACAGAAGCAGCTGTCAATTGATTCAGAGCTACTTTACCCTGGAGTTGTAGACCGAGTGACTTTATAAACACCAGTAGGGTGAGTTACACCTTACCCTGCATCAGCTAGAGACGGTCTACGCACATAAATATGGACACGTGTGGATGAAGACGCCACCGTACTCAAACATGTTTCACACAATGAATTTTTGGCCATCTTAGAAGTGTTTTCAGGTATGTCATAAACAGCTTCCTGAAGGGCCTCTGTTTGTAGATATAGTTGACGTCATTCTGAAGTGCTGAGCTAACGACAAACCCAAGTGTAGCTGACATCTACATTTATTACTGTCATCTTAAAACTGCTCTGACCTCCTAAGGTGGGGTAATTACACTCCACATGGATAATTGTAATTTTGCACTGAATGATTAAAGCAACACTAGTTTTAACACTTGAAGCTGCTGTTTTAATACTGGTTTTCAGCGGTTGAGCCAGAAACCTAAACTTCACATTGGACAGCACTCTGTCGCCCTCTGTTGGCCAGAAGCTGCACTTAACAGCCGTGGTGTTCAGGTAACAGCAACGGCTGTTTACTGTGGCACAGGCTCATATAAAGGCTAGCAGTTGGCTCTTTCAGTTAGCTACCGGTCAGTACAAAGCAATTCTGCTGGTTTCTGTTTGCATCATGGTGGAGTCTGAAAGTTGAAGCTATTTCTTTGGAGGTGAAGCAAAGATCTAAAACCACAGTGAACATTGGCGTGGCCTACACCCGTTTGAGGGAATCAGACTAATGGTGACCTGGCTTTGCTGCTACTGGACCTGTGATAATTAAACAGTTTGGATGTTTTTTCTTTGTGACTTATTTAGCAGAGATGGGGAATTGAGGCACCAACAAGTCATTTCCATGCCGTGTTTTTCTTCAGCTCAGCAATCCAACCAGGTGATTTTAATCAGCACAGTGAATGAACCTGGTTCAGCTGCTGAGCAGAACAAAAACACAGCATGGAGTTCACTGTTTGGTGTTGATGCGCCTGCGAGGTGGGATGATGCCACCTCTGTTATTTAATATCAGTTGGCATCGTTGGCGCTAGCTACAACAGGCTGCAACGGGTTGTAGTTGTAATTCTGCTTCCCACCAGTCAGGGGGGTGAAAGGGACTTGAGTGTTGCTTTAAGGGAATTCTGTTTGTTTAAAAAAGTAAACAACAGCACAACAAAGCCCTTCAGGTGCATGCAGATGTTCAGGTGCACTCATCTGTTCTAAATGACGTACACGTTACTTCTCTGAACTGAGGCCAGTCAGCTGATATTCAGAACCAACACTGGGCTGCTTCAAAGATGGCCGCTGTCCACTCAGAGAAGCTTCTCTTCCTGTGTACTTTTAAATGAAGATGTGGAATCACTTAACCCAGCTGTGATAACTAGTCAGTTAGAAGGCTTTTCTCTTAGGTCCCATCACAAAGTGGTTTTCTTCTCTACCTTCCAGCGTGACGTCCATATTCAGGGGCTCAGGATGCGATTCTGACAGACTTTATTCTTGCTACCAGTCATTACTGGATGATCGGTGCAGAAGTCATTTAGTGAAGCCATCAACAAGCTCGGACATGTAAAGAGAAACAGCCAACTACAGCAGTAAGGATGAATAAAGGAGTGGTCACGTCGGCAGCACTGACAATAGAAACATGATAGAAACATGACTGCTTTGGAAACTGCTAGCTGGTTCAGCGCTGTGGCAGAACATCAGCTTAAAGGCCAGAGAGTTCTGGTCTAACAGATTAAACCGGGCCGAACCCAACCTTGATGAACATTACTGATCTCTGGTTATTACTATGGATCTCCACACTAGTGCTGTCGGACACTGCTGATGCTTCTGCCCAGTCTCTCCTCTCCTCTCCTCTGTGGCTCACACGAGCAGCAGGATCCCGACTGGCATGTTAGTTAATGATTTTCTTTTTGCACTCCACAGAGCAGAACAGGAAGTTTTTCACAGCCATGAAGCGCTGTCCCATGAGGCATTTGGTGCAGCCGGAGCACTTGAAGCAGTCCGGCTCCGCGTGCCAGTGGTGCTCACCGTAGGAGACCCTCTGAGCCTCTGGCTCCACCGGCTTCTGGCAGGAGGAACATTTCTGGGAGGAAAGCAAAAGCATCAAATGGTGTTATGTTGTATTATATATGACAATGGTTGACTTGACTGTTCAGATCATCGGTCCTTTAGTCCCGGCTAATAACTGACAGAATCACAAGAGTAATGGAACAACGAGGGGGCCGTGTTGATGTGGCAGGTGGCTGACCCGGTTTTATTGTGAGGGGAAGTGGAGGCATGGGTGAGATCCACCTGTACACCTGACTAAAGAGAAGGAAGAGAAACTGTCAGACACGAGTCTCACACGCCCGTCCCTCTGCAGACTAGGGGTTGTACGAACCAGTCGACTAGTCGACTTCACGGCTCTGTAGTGACTTTTTATGCCAGTCATCAACTAGTCGCTGTCACGTGATAATGACTGACAAGATGCAGTCCTCGGAAAAGACAGCAGGTGATGAGCCCCTGCGCGTCTGGATCGAGGCGGAGGCAACGCGCTGTGCGGTACTGACACCGGCGGTAAAACGGACATTTAACCAAACTGTGACCTTTTCCCTCTTGCAATTTAACCTTCCCCTCACCCCCATCCTAATCTTAACCAGTTTGTGCATGCAAAGCTCTGATCGTTGACGTGCGCTCCAGACATTGCGTCCTGAGCACCGCCAAATCAGGTGTCACCACCTCAAAAACAAATTAAACACGCGATCGTTCATGTCGGCTCATTTCCTTTTATGTTTTCTGTCTGTTATTTGTGCCTGATGCGTTTCGCTGCTGCGGAGCGAGGCGCATCACCTGTTTTGTTCTCCGGTGACGCGCTCCCAAGATTCCACCATCTCCGCTCTGCTCCGCTCCGGCATGAACTCCGCAGCAAAAACGGTCCCGTTGTAGTCAGCCGGCGAGCAGCGGCACTCCGCTGTTTTTGCGGTCGGTAGATCTTTTAGAACTGCAGTTCAAAGGTAACTCATAAGGTGAATATATATGAACCCAGGTAGCAGTTTTTCTTTAGGACTGAGAGGAGATGCAGGAAGATAATAAACAGGCAGGACAGAAAAATAGTCAAATAAAAACAAGTTAGTTTTTGTACCTGGTGGTTGCAACAAACAGACACCACTGAAGGTAATCAGAAGTGAGGAACAGAAAATGAAATAATTATTTTAATGTTTAGAGCAGCAGGAACTCCAAGAGGCTGCAGGCGCATCAGTGAGTTTGCGGCTGCTGCGCAGGGGGAGGGGGGAGAGGACTGAAGTAGGATGCAGAAACTACCGTTGTTAAAAGAGATGTGTTAACTTAGAAAATGTGGGCGCAATTTTAATTGTCAAAAACTCCAGCGAACCTACCGACCGACCCCCCGCCCCCGCTTCCGGCGTATGACGTCATCAACGACTAGTCGAAGTCGACTCGACTTTCATTACTTGACTGTCGACTTTAAAAAAAATAAAGTCATGCAGGCCCTACTGCAGACACCTACAGGGTTTTATCTGATGATGGGTGTTCCCTGAAGGACAAGAGGGAGGCGTTTCAAACGTCCCTGTAACACATTAAAGCAGAGGCTTTCATCTGCAACGAAAAGCCAGAGTTGATTCATTTCTACCTCCTGTCTTGTTTCTCACAGGTAGTCACCTTCTGACCAGGAGCCTTGGACCCTCTGAAGCTGCTTCATCAGTCACAAGGAACCGCATTCCAACCACCAAAACTCCACCAACAGATTTGTTTTAGCAAAGGACTCACCACAGCGTAGCTGTTCATGTAGCAGGGTTGGCAGACGGGCTTGTCCTTCTCCATGACGTACGTCTCTCCAGCCAGGATGCAGTCACAGTCAAAGCAGCAGAAATGCTTCAGATGCCAGTTCTGTCCCTCAGCTTGGGTGTACTCATTACTGAAGATCAGCTGTGGACAGATACGCATCAGCACTGCCTCCTAAAGACGGAATAACTCTCCCCTAAACCTCCACAAGGTGTCCCATCACCTCATCACAGCCAGCGCAGCGAGGCTTCTCGCTGTCTCCGTAGTGGCGTCCACAGTACATGCTGTCCTTCTTCCAGAAGTAGATCATGTCCACCAGCAGCTCCTTACAGGTGCAGCACACAAAGCATGCTGGGTGCCACAGCTTGTCGTACCCAGCCCGCTCAGCGTAGACGGCTGGTTCACCAAGCTGCATGGGCTTTTTGCAGTGATGGCACGACTTAAAGGAGGAGAGAAGAAGTAAAGGTTGGTGTGGTGATGTCCTCCAGACTGACAATAAAGCCTTCATCATGAAGCTCTGCAGACGTGTCACACGAGACCCCACTAGAGGAATCATTTAACAGCACAAAGGGGTGTTGTGCTGGTCTGACGGCTCCACTTAGTGTCCAGTCTAAGAACGACGTCTGGTTTCCCTCCTGTCAGGAATGGTGGGAAACCTGGAATTACGGATTTATTTAGGGACAAAGCTGAGTAAAGATGACATCACTGACGACACCAGAATCCCCCCCTGTCAGAGGGAACACAGAGGCATCTGTAGTCCTTTAGATTCATTCACTGTTTAAAGCTGCAGCTGCAACAAACTGCTGCTTCAGAAAATTACAAAGTTTTCCCTTCCTGTGGTTTTAGATGTTTTGTTAGGCGTTTATTTCATGAAAATCACTCAAACAACAGGCTCTTATTCCAGCTGATGCTGCTAATTATGCAAATGTGGATGAAATTATTCAAACAATTAAAGAGAATCTTACAAAGTTCTTCAGAGGAAGTCCGGCGCTCATGGCCCCGGCCGCAGCAGCAGTCCCCACGGCTCCTCCTGCCGGGCCTGAGAATGTTCCAGCTCCAGCTCCCAGTCCTGCAGGTTCATTCCCAGCACCACCTCTGACCCCAGCACCTAGACTGGCCATCCCTTGACCAGAAGCAGCTCCTGGAGCCCCTCCCCCTGTAGCATTTCCAGCCCCCCCAGCTCCAGAACCAGCTTGCCTTCCTGCCTGAACCTGAGCCATATCCTCCGGCAGCAGGACATCTCCAACCCCCAGGGCCTCGTCCTTGTATTTACGAACATACTGCTCCATCTGCTTGACCTCGGCTGGGCTCAGTTCGTGACACTTGGACGGGTCCTGGTCGTGTTCAGGAAGCTGACGAGCCATCTGCTTCCGACGGTAAACGGCTCCCTCAGAACCAGCAACAGGACGCTTTTCAGGTGGGAGCAGCTCGATGTAACGCACAGCCTGATGGAGAAACCAACCAGACATGATTAAAGCTGTAACGTGAAAAGCCTCTGAAGGTCAGAGAGGAGGAGGGCCAATCAGAAAGGACATACTGGGAATGTGTCGTACCTTGTACTGGAAATAAAGAGCGCCTGGCTGTCCTTCAGACACAACCAGACTAAACACACACCAGGCTGACTCAGAGCTGCTGCAGCTCAATCATGTCACACTGTCTTTGCTGCTCATCTAGTCATCAATCACATTACTTTTGTCAGAACTCAAGTGGAAACAGAGCATCTAAAGTTTTACATCACGAAAACACGATTGATTAATAAAGGCTAATAAAATAATTTTAACGTTTTTTTTACATCCACCCATGTCATTTTACTCAAAAACCACCGCCACCATCCTCTAATCTCTGAAGAGGTAACCTAACCTTCCTAGAGACACGGTGAAACACACGTACAGTTTAATGATGATGGTTTAGGCAGGGAACCCTATTGAATTTGTACTGTTTTTTCATCTTTATTATTATTATTATTATTATTATTATTATTATTATTCTACACTGATTAAACACAGGCACAAAAGCCAGAAGATGCCAGAGGAAATCAAACATGGCAGTCTAATAGCAAAAACTGCTACTCAGATAAAGAAATTCACAGGGCATCCAAGTCACACTCATCTACATCTGCACCACGGGTCCCCAGAAGCACGAAAACATGAATGCAAGTCAAGTCAACGGGGCTAAAAACGCTACTTTCTAATTCCACTTATGTGTCATGGATTTCACATATGATGTTGGTGAATTTTAAATACGCATTTGGATACCAAGAAAGTGCTTATTTTATATGGGGGGGGGGCGACACACATGTTATTTTAGGTTTTGTGTGGACGGAGAAAGGCAGAGGGACAACGGCTACAAGTTCAGCAAACTTTAATGTCTTCCTTCAGGAGGAAAGGACCGCCATAAATCTGGCCATGTGGTAAGTAGCAGCTATGCTAGGGGAGAAGAGATTACGTGGTGACGTCATATATACCATGTACCGATGTCTGATTTGTAGTCATGCTAAATATGAACTTTTACAAGCTGATGAATCTCAAAGTACTTGACTGTCTTGGTCGAAACACCCATCATTACTTTTTGTTTAAATTGCAGTACAACACACGTGCGATCCAGGGTCTAAGGCAGAGCGCATTAGAAAAAGGCTCTTTTAGCCACATCGACTAGCATTCATTTTTTTCGTTCTTCCAGGGACCCATGAGTCGATCGGAAACGGAGGAGACTTAGGCTCTCTAGAACAGCTAGGGGGCGCTATTGTGAAAATGCATTTTGGCTAAAAACTCCCACACCCCAGGTCGCACACTCAAACCTTATATTCAATCCTTGGATGATTTAGTATCTTTTTCATATATGGAAACCTAACTAGACTTAATCCTACATTGCAAAATGCAAAACCTTGTTTTGGTGACCATTTCACAATTTTTCACCAAATCATCTTGAGACTTGGGACAATTGTGATCAAGAAAATTGCAGAAATATAAAAATGACACAAAATTTGTTGTGCAAGCTAGCTTGACTTCATTGATTTAATCTCAACCGTTTTTGAAGATTAAATGATGAGACACTGACACATCACACAGACATTCTATAAATTGATAAAAGGTACGATTGCGTTCTATAAAAGGTTTTGAACCCCTGAAATATCCATCATTTCTTTTCAGGATTCTTCTTAGAAAAAAAAATCATTAATGATTTGCAATGTTTATGTTTTACCCCCACAAATAACACAAGCCTGGAGGAGTTCTGCTGTGTGGTGGGGCTGCTAATGCTAACAGTTTCTACTAGTCGTGATGCTCTCTGCTGTTTCCTGGACGTTAAACCAACAACAGCCTTCCCTGTCACAAGTCAAGACGGGTGAGTCCATGAATGTTAAGCGACAGTGGATGAAGATCTGTCAGGATTTTCACCGTTTTTTTTTTCTCTATCAAAAGGAAATGCAGGTGATAGGTACAGGAGACCTTCATGTTCAGCCTGTATGAAAAACTTAGTGACTATCAGAAATAATCATTAAACAATTTATTCTATTTGAATAATAGCCTGGCTGCGCAGTGACGCAGTGGTTAGAGCTGTTGCCTTGTAGCAAGAAGGTCCTGGGTTCGCTTCCCGGCCTGGGGTCTTTCTGCATGGAGTTTGCATGTTCTCCCTGTGCATGCGTGGGTTCTCTCCGGGTACTCCGGCTTCCTCCCACAGTCCAAAAACATGACTGTTAGGTTGATTGGTCTGTCTAAATTGTCTTTAGGTGTGTGTGTGTGTGTGTGTGTGTGTGTGTGTGTGTGTGTGTGTGTGTGTGTGTGTGTGTGTGTGTTTGTCCTGTGTGTTTCTGTGTTGCCCTGTGATGGACTGGCTCTCTGTCCAGGGTAGGGTTGTCAAGATACTAAAATTTCAAACTCGATTCGATACTGGGGGAAAAAACTCAATACTTGATTTCGATACTATTTAAAAACACCAATTTATTGAACAAGTTTATTCAAAAAATAACATTCCTCAATTTATATTGCAAAAATTAAATGTTAAGAATTAAGTGTATAAAGTGCTTAAACCTTTCATGTATCAGTATTTTTTAAAACGTGCATACAAAAACTGGCAAAAGTTAACACTTTAAATCATGAATTGTCTCACTATATATTCTCTATTTGCAGAGTGATGTTTTGCTGCTTAAACTCTGTTTAAGGTGCATTTTTGTCATAAGATGTAATGCCATATGTTTTGTTCTGTACTTTTGAACAACTCTGTTGGTCAATAAAGGGAGAAAACGAATTTCTCTACAGTAGGACAAAGGTACATCTACCGGTAATCTTAATAAAAACAGATTGGCGCACGGCAGTGACGTCATTAAAAGCGCCGGTTAGATTAGCCGCAGCTAGTCTGTTTACGCCTAGAAATCCCAGACCAGACCCGCTCCAAACGAACAGGGGAATCACGTTAATGATTCCTAACAAAACCTTTCGACATTGAGATGTTTTGGTGCAGATAATGTCTTATTTCGAGGCTGCACCATAGGTGCCCGTCCGCACCCGTTACATGGATATACGCTGATGGTGATTCGCCGATGGATCTAAATACCCCGGGGAATCCAAGTAGCACCAAAGTTGTCAGTGTGAGTAAACAAACGTACTGCATGCTAGAAATTAAGTCCGGGTTGCAATAAACGGGAGTTTTCCTTTAAGCACATAAGCGTGAATATACAACTACGTGTCGGACTTGGTATGCCAACTAAGTTGGGCTGCGAAGCATCTCCCAAATTCGCTGTTTATGTTTTTGTTTATTTATTTGGCAGACAAAACTTGGATCGGAGACAACTCGCATGGGAAATTGCAATGTAGCCATGCGGCATCTTCTTCTTCTGTTTGTCTGGGAGGCGGAGGCTGCTTTACGGCATCTGGCTGTCGTGCGTGTCGGTGTACTTGAAGAAGGCTGTGTATAATAGTCCATAATATCGATACCACAGGGATGGAATATCTTATTTAGATACCACTTTTAGTATCGATTTATATCTAGGTATCGATTTTTTGACAACACTAGTCCAGGGTGTACCCCGCCTGACTGCCCGTTGACTGCTGGAGATAGGCACCAGCCAACCCCCCCCCCCCCCCCCCCCCCCCGACCCGACGTGGACAAAGCGGGTTCAGACGATGGATGGATGAATAAAAGCCTTTTTGAGTTTCTGTAAAAAAAGGTTTAACCAGTTGACAACTGTTGACAACTGGTCAGTAATAGGATGGATACACCTTAATGAATTAAGATGCTAAATTCCTACTAATGCAGATAAGAATATAACTTATTGCTTGAAAGTAATTTCTATTTGTTCATATCTTTTCAAATTTCTTCAGTAAGAATATTGTCTGGACAAGGATAAATTATATTATCTCTATGTAGAACAGAAATTACAGAGTGGTGTTGTTGCTTAAATATTAAAATGGCTTGCCGTAAAGCCTTGTAGACAGATTCAGGAGGAAACGTAGAACACAATATGAATCGTCGTTCACTGGATTGCTCAAATATTACTGTTAAAACAGTTCAGTCACTAACGTGATCCGACTCGGTTGGAGCTCATTTATCTGCGTGATGATCTCAGAGATAACCAGTTGGGACTGTTGCAACTTTTTTTCCTGCCAGCTCTGCAGATGAACACGATCATTCTGAATTTGTCCTTTAGCAGCTTTGGGAGTCTAATATATTCCCTGACATGAAATTTGAAGCGCTTCCTAGGTGCAAACGGAGCAATCCCGGTGGTTGTTGACATTGGTTCTGCTGCATGCATTCGTTCAGTTTCACTTTGGTCTGCTAATTTTATTTATTTATTTTGTTTTGTTTGCAGTGTTGGAGACGTCTTTACGGTGGGTTAACCGCAGTGTTTCATACCGTGGTTATTAGTCACACCGGTTAAACCCTATTCAGGGGGCGCTAAAGGCTCAAAAAGTTTGCATCAGCATAACAGCTTGATGAATTTTCATAAAACATGGCACACATGTTTGTAAGCACACCCTAGCCATATTTGGAAAATGATTCAAAAGTGGATGTGGCTCATAGGCTTTAAAGTTTTCCACCCTTTTATCAATGAAATAAAAAAAGATTCTATCCAGAAAAATTACATATCACGTACATACCCATGTCCTCTAGACTCTGAGTAAAATTAGACTTTTGTCCATTAGGGGGCACTGTTGCACCCAAAAACATACACTGCTGACAAAAATTAAAGGAACACATTAAATACATCAGATCTCAACATGAAGTTGGATATCTATACAACTAAGGACAGGGCAATGTCTTAGGAACAAAAGGATGCCAAGTCTGTTAATGGAAATAAAAGTTATCAGCCTACAGAGGGCTCAGTTGTGTAGACACCCTAAAATCGGAGTGAAATGAAGATGTGGCAGGCTAGTCCATTATTTCAAAAACTTAATGTCTGCAACTCTAATTGCTTTTCAGTATCTTGTGTGGCCCCATGAGCTTGTGTGCATGCTTGACAACGCCGGGTCATGCTGCTAATGAGACAACGGATGGTGTCCTGTGGCATTTCCTCCCAGATCTGTGTGAGGGCATCCCTGAGCTCTTGTAACCTGGTGCCGCCTAATGGACCGAAACATAATGTCCCACAGATGTTCTGTTGGGTTTAAGTCAGGGGATCGTGACGGCCATTCAATTGTTTCAGTTCCTTCATCCTGCAGGTACCGCCTGCATACTCTTGCCACATGAGGCCGGGCATTGTCGTGCATTAGGAGATAACCAGGACCTACAGCATCAGCGTAGGGTCTGACGAAGGGTTCAAGGACTTCATCTCCATACCTAATGGCAGTCAGAGCACCATTTCCTAGGCAGTAGAGGTCTGTGTGTCCCTCCATGGATATGCCTCCCCAGACCATCACTGACCCACCACCAAACCTGTCATGTTGAACAACGTTGCAGGCAGCATAATGTTCTCCTCGTCTTCTCCAGACTCTTTCACGTCTATCACAGGTGCTCAGGGTGAATCTGCTCTCGTCTGTAAAAAGTACAGGGCACCAGTGGCAGACTTGCCAATTCTGGTGTTCTTGAACAAATGCCAGTTGAGCTCTACGGTGCTGGGCAGTGACACAGGGCCCACTACAGGACGTCGGGCCCTCAGGCCATCTTTATGAAGTCTGTTCCTGATTGTTTGGGTAGAGACTTTCACACCGTTGGCCCTCTGGAGGTCATCTGTAGGGCACGAGCAGTGCTCAGCCTGTTCCGCCTTGCACAAAGGAGCAGGTATCGGTCCTGCTGATAGGTTGTGGACCTTCTACGGCCCTGTCCAGCTCTCCGAGAATAACCGCCAGTCTCCTGAAATCTCCTCCATGTTCTGGAGCTTGTGCTGGGAGACACATTAAACCTTCTCGCTGCAGCACGTGTGGATGTGCCATCCTGGAGAAGTTGGACAACCTGTGCAACTTCTGTAGGGTTAAGGAATCGCCTCATACTGCCAGTAGAGAGCCAAAACTAGCACGAGTGGAAAACCAGCCGACAAAGATCAAGAGGGAGAAACTTGAAATGACCGTTACATGTTAAACCAGTCCTGTTTTGAGGGTTTTGTAATTGTTGCCACTTTAGTGCACCTGTCATTAAGTCCATGAACACCAATACAGCTGAACGTGATTAACAATGCCCTCGGCTGCTTAATCAACCAGGAAATTATCACACAGGTTTAATTGATTTCATGCCAGGCCCAATAAAAAAAGTGTTTCTTTAACTCTTGTGAGCAGTGTAGTTTCAGCATGTCCTCAGGATAGAAGCAAAATGTGCTACCCTCCCTGCTTTGTGAGTCATCCAAGCTTAGACCGTTTCGAACAAAGCATTACTATTATGCAAATGAGTCAAAACTGCATATTATGTAAAACTTATTTTTGTTAACTTGTCTCACAATTCTAACCCAATTAAATAGAAACTTTGCATGTTGAGAGAGGAAGTTTTTGGATTTTTTTAAATCTACTTTAGCAGGTTTCCCCCAGCACGGCTTCGCTTGCCCACCCGCCAGGCTAAGCGTCATGCCCCGTCCCCCTCCCCGACCCTACCGTGTCCGCTGACACGAACGGCGCAGCGAAACTAGAGCTGTCCATCAGCTGATGCTGGTGAGAAACAGCAGCGGAACGTGTGCAAGTTGCAGAGTTTATAAACGCGGTGAGGACGGAGGAGAGGTTCTCATCAGAAATAAATAAAAGTCGAACCTAATAGAGTAACGGGTTGTCATTTACATTTAAAAAGTCGTTCTGTTTGGAGTTAGTTTTTTGGGGAAATTTCTGAGAGTGCAGCCTCTTCTGAGCGGTCATTCAGTCTGGTTACCTTGGCAACGCGGCGTGTATGATCGGGGGGGGGGGGGTGGGGGGGGGGGTTCTCGTAGCTGTAAAATCGAATATGAGCTGGAATAGGATTTGTGCGGATCATCGGTCGCTCCACAGAGGTCCTACATCACAGCATATCTCCAGAAGGATCTCCTTCAGCAATCAGATCAGAGCGCTCACGGAGGACGACTTTCCTCCAGAGTGCCCTCCCAGTAACACCATCAGTCATGTGACAATGAGTCGGTCACAGGCGTCTCTTATCGGTTTTAGCGCCAGTTACGTGACACAGCTGCTGTTCCTATGAAATTATGATCTTTTGGCTAAAATAATTAGTGGATGAGGAACAAGTGTGGACGACAGAGTATTTAGTACTACGGGTCCTCCGTTCTACTACTAGATGCTTTTCATAAACATGGTCTAAGGTTTTATTATATTTAGGAACATTTGCACACACAAGTACAAAATTAAGAATACAACTCAATGAGTAAACTAGTTCCTACACACAAAATACAACAGATCTGTGCGTAAGTACGACTGATAAATGGGGCTCAGCACTCAGCTTAGACAGACCAAATATTCCAGGGTGAGAACACACCCTCACAGTCCCAATCCTCCGCTCAACAACAAATGCCTCAGCCCTTTAAAACTAACAGGCTGAAACTAACTTCTCACATGACATCACCTCTCTGCTATTCACTCTTTCATTTGATGAAGAAAATAAGTTTAGAACATGTGGGAATAAAGTTCTAGATATTAAAATATCTTCACACATGCCCCACTGCTGGGTTCTAATTTTATACAGGTAACTCGTTTTCATGAAACTGGCTGGAAAACAAATGTATCTTTTACACTAAAAACTCTTACCAGGTATTTGTTAGGAACTGGAGGTGCCCACTCATAGGTGATGGATTTCACTGGAACATCCTTAGGAACTGATACCACACTGGCTGCTGTGGCGCTGATGGGTATGGATGGGAACTTGTCAGCTTTGGAAGGAGTGAGTGGTGCAGGATGAGCCTGGGCATGACCCTGAGGAGCTGATCCTATAGAACCTGCAGACGTCCCAGCAGGCTTTCCAGAACCTACTGAAGCTCCAGCAGGGTGACCAGAACCTACTGAAGCTCCAGCAGGGTGACCAGAACCGACTGAAGCTCCAGCAGGGTGACCAGAACCGACTGAAGCTCCAGCAGGGTGACCAGAACCTACTGAAGCTCCAGCAGGGTGACCAGAACCGACTGAAGCTCCAGCAGGGTGACCAGAACCGACTGAAGCTCCAGCAGGGTGACCAGAACCGACTGAAGCTCCAGCAGGGTGACCAGAACCTACTGAAGCTCCAGCAGGGTGACCAGAACCTACTGAAGCTCCAGCAGGGTGACCAGAACCGACTGAAGCTCCAGCAGGGTATGCAAAGCTTGATGTGGAGGAGGGGGGGACGGCAGTAGCTGAGGCACTGGGGGGAATGATGTAAGCCGTGGCAGGGCTGGGCAGAGTGATGGTCATCATGTTGCCTTGGTAACCAGGGATGCCATCTGCCTTTAACTTGGCGATGAGGCCCGTGTACTTGGTGTCTTCAAACAGCTTGCCAACCTTTTGGTTCTCCTCTGACTCCATCGACACATCGTGCTCTGCAAGGCCACATTTGCAGTTTCTACACATTTTTCTGCACAAAAAATAAACATGGACAGGTTTAGAACCAGATATTTCAGCATCTTATGGGATGACCATAGATTTCCTAAATAATTTCTAAAACAGGAAGTCATCCATCCAGCCACTTTCGACCGCTTAACCAGGGTCGGGTTGTGGGGTCAGTAGCCTAAGCAGTGAGGCCCAGACTTCACGCTCTGCAGCCATTTGGGCCAGCTCATCCAGGGGAATCCTAAAGCCTGACTCATGCTTCTCCATCTGCGACAGTGCGGAGACACGCTACGCCGCTATCCGTCCTTGCGTAGGGCCCCGGCAGGCATGCAAGTACATACGGAGTTGAGCCAACTTTATTAAACATCCGTCCATCGAGACGGACAACTCAAGCTTGCGATTGGTCAGGATGCTGCTGTCGTCGACAGCGCCGCCATTGCGCCCTCAAAAACATAAAGAGAGCCAAGAATAACTAGTGGCAGACACGGAGAAGCTTGAAGAATGCCTCGCGAAAAAAACTAAAATATGAACATTTAATTCCCCGTGACTGGAGGAGTGAAAAGATGCATTTTATTTATTTATGTGTTTTATTTGTGGAGGGAAATGACAGGAAACGTGGGTTTAGAGGTGGTGAGCGCATGAAGAGGTGGAGGAGGACGAGAGACAAGTTTGTCCGCGTTAAAAAGTCTCTTAAACACAAAAAAAACACAATATAAACACACTATCTTGGACCGATACATGACAGGATACCACAGAACAGCGCTACGCCCGCTGGTGTCCTGCCGGGGAATTGCTTTGCAAAACTCCCCAGGAGACGGAGAAGTATGAGAGCAAAACACTTCTGTCAATCCGTGCGTGTCTGTCTCCTGCGGAGCTGACGGAGAAGCATGAACCAGGCTTAAGACGTTCCCTGGCCAGCCAGGAGACATCAGGCGGGTTTCCAATACAAGAACTTCAGGGTAGATTTACAGGAACCTCCCAGCATGCGCGTGTCTCCACTTGACCGGACCGTCTGAATGGCCACTTTTCGGGCCGTTTTCAGGAACCCTCTGAGTTAGGGCTGAACGATTTTAGGAAAAGATTGATTCTAGCAGAAATTGCAATTTCAGTTCAATTCACAAAATTTTTCAAACAAAGGTACAACACTAGCCTGCCAAGCCATCCTGTACATTAAGTGAAAAGATGGTCTAAATTCTAATCTAGTAAAGCAAATCATTCACATTCATATTTATTATCTCATTCAATAAAAACAATTACAGGTATTAATATTTTCTCCCATTAATATATATATATATTTTTATGTGCTTGTGAAGCAACTTGTGATTTTTATCTAGCAGGGTATATACAGCAATCCTTAAGTAAAATTTACTACTTTTTAATACTTTTTTTTACTACCTTCAGAATTTTTTTAAAACCATCACAACACTAAATTGCAAGTGTTAATCAGCGACGTATTTACACATATTTTAACATATATAACATACAAAAAGAATAGACTTAGAGACTCACTGATGTTGACAACGTATTGCACATATTTATTTTACTTAGAAAATAAGCCAGGCACTTCTGTTCAGCGGTCCAGACAGTTAACCACGAGGCCTGAAATGATGCAGAACGACCACTGAATATGACGTCATCATTATGTGACCAGATATGCTAAAGTAGTGCTGCTCAATTATGGCAAAAACAATAATCACGATTATTGTGACTGAAATTGAGATCTCGATTATTTAAGACGATTTTTCAATTTATGTAGATTTTTATTTTTTTTATTTTTATTCAGTCATAAAACTGCTCAGGGCACAATCAGGGCAAAAACAAACAAGAAACAAGATGATCACTAAAATAACTCCTGATTCCCAGTATAAAAAGACCAATATACTTACAGCTCATAGTTTATGACCCAAGGGCTATAGACCTTGGTTTAAGTCATTTAAGTCTAACCAGTACAGACTCAAATACCAATATCTTGCAAATACTGACAGCAAGAATTATACAGTGGCATTTATAACAAATACATGCAAATTGCTGTTCACTAAATGTTGCATAACATTTATTGAGTCGTGTCAAGGTGCTGTAGGAGAGTGCACTAGCACCGTGTCCTTAGGGAGATTAGTTATTATTTATCAGCGTGAGGAACTTATTTCTATCTTATTTATAAACTATTTATTTACAGGTCCATCAGTTAATGTAATAATTGTCCCAACCACAGCTGCACCCCCCCACCCCCAACCCGGTCTCACAGCAATCAGGGGCAAGCTGCACGTGTGTCTAGCGCGCCGCACGCGCACATTTAGCCGTTTTTAGCGGCTCAGGAGTCCGCAGGTGCGGTGTGTGTGTCACTCACTCTGGTTAATCCAACAGGGAGCCGGCTCCGAGAGCTGTTTCTTTAGCGACCGACACATCACTACATCATTCCCTTTCCTAATGTCCTGAAGAACGGTCCGGAGCGCAGGCGGAGTGTTTAGCTAACCTGCAGGAAATGTCGACGACAGTTATCCAGAAAGTAGTTAAGGGTTACCAGAGATGTTTCTGAGGTGTTCGCCAGGTACTTTTGAGATTTAAAAAGTCAAGAAGGGGTTCTGAGAAGCTGCTAGAAATAGCGTCAAAGTCGCTAAGTTAACTTGGCAACACTGGGAGGAGCGCTTCATTTGTAACTCAAGGCAGCGCAAGCGGGAGGAGCAAATAATCGGCTTGTTTTGTTTTTATAATCGTTCAAAACATTTCATTCGGAATATATTTCTATGTCGATGTTCAGAATACGACATCTGATAGTCTGAAAAAAATAATACCTAATTTGGAAAAAATAATACCTCTGAGACCAAATTTAACACTTTTAATGGCCTTAAATTTGACTATTTTTATTTATCACTTTTTAAAACCCCGCGGACACCCTGATCTAGAGAAGTGCTTTATAAAAACATGTTCGTGTTCTACTCCAAAAATGCAAGGAGGAAATCTGAAGGCAGAAACATCCCTGCATTACCAAGTCAGGCTGGCTGACGTTTGTCACTAAAACTCCGCTATAAGGCCTCGTAAATGCTGCAGTCAGCTCCGTGAGTCGCACACAAATTGAAAGAGACGCTCTGACCAGCAGATTCTCACCCAAAGCATCAAATAATGACGCGTGTGACCAAGCGTCAAAATATGACTATTACGCCGGGGACACACCGGCTGCCGAAGCGCCGCGAAGCGCTGCGAGGCGAAGCACTCACGAAATTTGGCCGCTGCTCGCTGCTCCTCAGTTCAGACCAGACGCTTGTTTCTCCGGTCGAGGCGCGCGTCGGCTCAGCTGTAGTTTTTCTTATAACCACTTGGTGTCCTCCATTTCCTCTGCTTTTCTCTGCTCTCTTCCTCGGCACCCCCTCCCCCTTGCTGTTTGTGTGTGTTTGTCCGCGTGTGTGTGTGTGTGAACCCATGGTGTGAACCAGTTGTTAATAGTTGGCCTACGACTTTCTGCCTCTCTGTCCTGTTTTCTCCGGTTGAAAGACACCCAAAACCACACCCCCTTCACGTGGTCGTGTGTGTGTGTGTGTGTGTTACCCAAAACCACACCCCCTTCACGTGTGTGTGTGTGTGTGTGTGTGTGTGTGTGTGTGTGTGTGTGTTACCCAAAACCACACCCCCTTCACGTGTGTGTGTGTGTGTGTGTGTGTGTGTGTTGTTTTTATGCAGTGTCTGTTTACGAACACATTTGACTATCGTGGAATTGTATTTTGAAATGCTTTATTTTGTTAAATTTACCGGCCTGCCTCTTATGTCTAGGTCTGACTTCCTACCAGAATTGACGCGGTTCACCCGCGGCTCACGAAAAAAATTGAGCAGACGCCGAAACGATCGCTGCATGGCGTGGGCTGGAGCGTGCCGGCGCTCGGCAGCCCATGTGGTCTATACAATAGGATGACAAGGGCGCCAAATGAAGGCAGTCCCGATTTCGCTGCGCTTCGGCGGCCGGTGTGTCCCCGGCGTTAGGGTGCCCCAGCACGTTGGGACAGGATGCTCAGGGACACGTACCACCTCGGGCGTCAGATACACCCGCGGTGGTACGGACATTATTCCTTGAACCTCTAGCGATTTAACCTTTCCCTCACTAGGGTTGGGCATCGTTTGATTTTGAACAATTCCGATTCCAATTCCTCATTTTGATTCCGGTTCCTATTGATTCCCAATTCCGATTATTTGAAGACATGCCATGTTTTGCATGAGCCGGCTAACCACAGGTCCTACTGGATGAAATAATCTTAACTTCAACATGAATTTTAACTCTATGAACAACAACATCACCTTCATTTAGACAAAAACATGTTTTGGAGAAAAAAAGAAAAAGACTTGCAGCACAACCAGTGTGTTTGTTTCTGACCACAAACAAAGTCTGGAACAAGCCTCTGGGATGAGAGGTTAAATGTCTCCAACACACCCAGAAACGTCCAGCTGTTTTCAGCTAAAACTCTCAGGATGATCATGTCCAGGATGACTGAGAACTACACCTCCATGCTGCAGCAGCATTCAGTCAGAACAGGAAGTGAAACTTAAATGTAGCTGCTGTCAGTAACAATCTAACAGATTTTAAACATTAAAACTCAGAAATAGTTCAGAAAGGAAATTAAAATTGTTATTTATTATTATTATTATTATTTATTGTGGCAGAAGCTGGTGTGGTCCACCACAGAGAAGCTGCTCTAGCAGGATGACTTTAATTATTCTACAGGTTATTGTTCAGCCTTCTGACGCTCACACAAAACACACACACAAAACACACACACACACAAAACACACACACACACACACACACACACACACACACACACACACACACACACACACACACACACACACAGTGTTGGTGAGCGGCTGCGTCTGACTGCTGACGCTCCGTGTGTTTTTCTTTCTGCAGTGAGACAAACTCGCCTCACACCGTCCAGAGTTTGTTCTTTAAAGCTTCTATTAAATCCACCGTGTTGACGTATTTGAACAAGTTTCCTCTACGCTGCAGGAGTTAACGTTTACATTACGGAGTAAAAGTTCGGCAGACGCGTTTGTTTATATTTGGGTGGGGGAGGGGGGACTCGTGTGATCAGCTCTGAAACACGTTGATCACAATTTACAGATCACGTTTACTTTTCACAGAGATCGGCTGCGGATTCCTCTTCCGGTCGACATTCTAGGAATCAAAATAAAATACTTTGAACAATTCCGGGAAAAACTGGCAGTTGGTCCCGGTTCCAATCGATGCCCAACCCTACCAGTGTGAGCTTGGTTTAAAATCTACAGTCACGCCATCACGTCTGCTCAAACTAAGCTAACAAACAGGCTAGTTTTAGCTAGGCGGATTCTGCTATCAGAACATTTTAATTAAACAAAGAGGAAAGAGACCAGCCTCAGTCAAAGGAGGAAGCTTTAAGTTATCCTTATATTATTTCTAAAAGTGCTCAAGGATTATCTCAGGGCTTCCTTGGCCACCCTGCAGAGAATCCATGTAAAAACTAAAGAATTATGCATCTTATCTTTTGACACTTCACATCAATTCACACACACAGTTCAGAGATGAAGCCAAGCAAACCTCCAGAAGTGCAGCTCAAAGCCGTCACACTTGTCCTTGCACTTCAAACAAGCCGCTCCAGCACCAAACTCGTGTCCGAGGGTCATCTGGAAAAGGAGAAGAACCAAAATAGGGATTGTATTAGTGTTCAACCTGAAAATCGGTTTTATTTTTAAAGTCATTTAGCATTATGTGTTTATTTAAAGAGCAAGTAACGTCTAAATTAACTTTTTTTTGCTGATGAACTGTATAAATGAGTGTCTAATAGTGTTTTAAATGTGTGTTTTCATTATTTTAGCATTTTGGTGCATTTTCTTTAAAAATTTAAAATTCTGCCTAAATACCACAGTATAGCTCCACCTTCAGCTTAAAACATAGAATTTGACTCATTTTGAGTAAATTTTAGCCAATGGCTAAAGAGTAAGATACTACGTAAACCAGTAGAGTACTACGTAGCAGCTCTGTGTCAACGTTATAAAAGCATCGGGAGTCTCGGCCACGCCTTGTGGCGAGTTGGGAGTTGGATTTGCAAGCGAGTGTAGGAGGTTAGCCGTAGTTCAGCATTAGCATATAGCATTAGCATATCCTAGTCTTTAGCATAGCTTTTAGTGTTATACATACTTATTTAGTGTTAGCTTGGCTGTTGGATATTGTAGTTTAGTTACTGTTTGGCTGTTAGTGTAATTAGGAAAGTAGTTCGGGTTTAGTGCTCCATATCGTGTTAGTATGGTGAGATGGTGTAGTGTAGTATGGTTGCGGAGCTCTGTCGGGTTGCACTCCTTTCCGCTGGACTTAGAAATTAGGCGCCAGTGGTTGCGTGTCTGGAAAAGATTCAGCTCCCGCCTGGTGCTGTAGTTTGCAACCAGCATTTTACCCGCGATTCTGCACGTCTCCGTTCCAAGAGGGAGGCTGTGCCCACCGTGGCTCTTCCGCGATTTAGATGCAGCCCACCGACTCTGCTCCCCCACCATGACGGGCTCCAGTCTGAGGTGAGTAAGCTAAATAAAAGTTTTAACATCTTCTAAAGACAATTCCCTTCCTAAATGCAAAGTTTGAGAGACGTGGTTCACTCCATTTAGCTAATATCAGCCTGCACTGCCTTCGGGCTGATTTGTCAAGTTCACAAAATGTGGAACGGGATGTAAGGTTAGAATCAGCGGCGAATCGGAACATATCTCGAAGCCCTGGCCGACAAAACGGTCCACATGACTATTACTGTCAGGCTCTGAGAAAATTCAGGTTGTTTTTGTGTCAGTCGTAATTCTGCAACAGTGACTCTAACTGACGCAGCACTAGTTGACAGACATCATTACAGCGTGAAATCCAGCTTGTGACCCGGTTCCGTGAGGAATTCTGTTCAGGAGGTCGCATTTCAGGATCTCCACATCATGTGTGACTGACTTTTACGTTATAACATCACACACTAGGAATGTTATAAAGTGCCTATATGGGACAGTTCCTTTTGTATTTTATCTGACTTTATAAACATCAATGTGCTTCTATTTTTTTTTCAGGCTAAATCTACCCAAGACACTGGCTGTCAGACTGATTTAGTAGTCTGCAAGAATGCACTTGTCCAGGCTGACGTGGTGTTACCCGTAGCAAAGGTGAATTATTTTTAATAATCTTCTATGTAAACATTTTATTACCTTCTAGTTTTAATTTGTTTTACAGATTGTTACAAGTGATTTTATGCTCTTTTAAACGTTTATAAATGTGCTGCTTCTTTGTTTTTTATAGAGCTCACAGCCTCAGTGTCTTGTGACACAGGGACCATGACAGAAATTCATCTTCCAGAAGGTCCCAGAGCAGCATCCACACCTCCTGAAAAGACCAAGATGTGAAGTGTCTGCTGTTGATTCCAGCTTCCACCTCAGTGACAGTGCAAGCTCAGTGAACTGTTCAAGGTAAAAAAATTAAAACATTTCTGAATTTTTAAGATATTAACAATTAAATAAGTATGTGATTGCATCATGACATCATGAAGGAGGCTACTGATTCAGGCCCTGTGACACTTGGTGGTGACGTGTGAGCTGATTCACCTGGTAAATAACTTTTACATTAAATATTTTGTTTTTGCTATCAAAAGTAAATTAACTAATAACCTGCATTACTGCAGGACACTCAGCAAAATATGGACTCTACACCATGAAGCAGGAACACGTTAATACTCTATAAGAGCACATAAGGTGAGCAACACCACATTATTGTACACTGTCCTGGATTTGTTTTCTTTCTGCATCTCATCATTAGCCTGACTGATCACCTGATAACTCCTGTCATCTGGTTATGACAGCATGAGGATGTCCTCACACACCTGTCATCTGGTTATGACAGCATGAGGATGTCCTCACACACCTGTCATCTGGTTATGACAGCATGAGGATGTCCTCACACACCTGTAACCTATCAGCTCATCTGGCAGAATAGAGAGAGAAGAGACAACACCACATCTCCTGTTCCTGGAAAGCCTTCAGCCATCCTTCGATGACTGAGAACCTCCATCAGCTCTGTCTCCTGTCTGCCTACAATTATTATAATAAATAGTGTTTGACAAGTTTTTTGTGCTGCCAAATATCTCATTTTGATTCCAGTTTTGATATTTTAATGGATATTTATAAATTACATTAATTGAATTATCACATTGTCGCATGTTTAACTAGCTCTATTGTGATGAACTAAACTAGCACCTCACTGTTAAAAGCTCGTTTTAATTTCAAGCATGTTTAAGTATTTATGGACATGAACAAAAACAGGAAATATATAAATTGAGATTTATTTAATTAATATAACAAATAAGGGGGAAAGAGTCATTGAAAGGCACATTCTTCTGGAAGCTCCTGATCCTGACGACACCAGCAGGAGACCAGCTGCAGACACCAGAGGATCACCTGCAACCAAGAGCAGCTAGTATCAGTAAATAAATAATGAAATCAGGGCAGTTTTAGTGGGATGAACACATTACAGAATAATTTTCTCATGGGATATTTTCATAACTTTATGCAGCAGACTGTAGCTTGAGCCCAGATCTCCTGGAGACCTGCTATCCAGCACGTTTCAGTGGATTTTCCTGCTTTAACAGGTTAGATAAGCAGCTCAGCTGTTTGTTGCTGATTAAAACCAGGTGTGTTGAAGCAGATAAATCTCTAAAACATGCTGAATACTAGCTCTCGGGCCGTGGAGACAAACCCTGCAGCTAATCCAATGCTATGGCTAACGGCTACTTACATTCAGAGATGGTTCTGTTGGGTCGGTTCCGGTAATTTCAGGCAACTCACAAGCTCAAAACAATAAGGCTCATGTCCGCTTGTCTCCTCCAATTAGACTTGGTCCCTTTCTTCTCAAGTGTCTGGGTAAGGAGGGGGAGAAACGTCCTCCACTTCTAATGACTGCTCAGAGTGAAGGGAGCTAGCTTCGTCTAGTTAGCCATCGTCTTCGTCACTGCCGCGGCTCCGCCCTCTCGGTCCTCCAGGCAACGCCTACTAATGTTGCAGTTTTTAAAATTGATACGTGGGTGGGGTAAGACTCTGAGGTACACTTGACATGCACTTTAAATCTGTGAGTAGTCCAGAGTAGAACGCAGTTGTAGAAAATCACTGACATCACAGATTCTTGTGTGGATGTTTTTTTTTACCACAGAAATGGAACCGTGTGATTTTAGTGGTTGTCCTTTAAGGGGGTGTTTTACACTGAAATAACATTTAGTCTGTCCAGATGACTTCCATCACTAACCAGTGAACGAGGCAGTTGAGCTGCCAGCAGCAGCATTCAACCACATGATGTCATTAAACAACCAGACCTTCTGACTAATGAGGGCCAAATCAGGTCAGCTACAGCTTCTCATCCTCCCTACGGATGGGCACCGTATTCGGTACTTTTAAGGCACCGACCGAATTCCGTGGTACCGATCAAGGACAGTGCGTCATGTCGTCAGTCGCTGCGGGCGAGTTGTAAACAGAGCAAGCAGCATGGTAGAAAGAACGCACTCTAAAGTTTGGGTCTACTTCACTAAATGTGATGGTGACTGGGTGATGATGACAACATTGACAACTTTCTAAGTTAGCCATCATTGTCTTGCTCTGCTACATACTATAAATAGTTTAAGATGGTATTAGCTTGATATTTGAGCTTTCGTTGCTAGCAGAGAATGGTGTGTTCGCTCTCTCCTTGGTACTTGGACATTTTGACTTCCGAGTAGGCAGAGGGACGCCATACAGTTTGGCTTCGCTTTACTAAATGCGATGGGTGACTGGGTGTTGCTGATATTGACATTGATCTAAATGAGTCGTCATCGTCTTAATCTGCTCCATTAGCTTGATGGTTTAGCTTAGTTGAGTTCACTGCAAAGATGTTTGCTTCAGTTTAATTTGCAGTTTTTAATACTACAAGGAGCCAACCATCACACAGTCTGTCCAGAAGGGACAGGAGAGCAATATGAGTACATGGAGCTGGCTTTAGTTTGTGAAACACCACAGTATTCAACAGCTGGATGGTACTGAAGTTTGCTTTAGTTTCATTTCATCATAGTTATTCCAGAGGGCATAGAATAGGATTAGGAGCATATGGAGGTGGGTTTCAATTGTTGCATCATTTAGAAACAGTTGTGGTTGAAGGTTTTCATATTTAAAAGACAATTAGTTCATTTAATACACACTCAAAAGTACCAGTAAGTACTCATATGATTTCTAGGTACTGGGAATCGGTACCAAATTGATTCAAATGTGAAAGGCACCATCCCTAATCCTACCACCACCCCCCCCCCCCCCCCACACACACTTCAAAAAATAAAATCAGGTCAATTACTCAGCACTGACATGGAAACCATCTTAGTTTCTAGGTATGATTCCTAACAAAACTAGTAAAATCAAAAGGCCAACTTTTGCAAACAGCATATAGCATGCAGCACCCTGTTCACACCCCAGGCTCTAACAGGGATCACACAACATGTGCACAAGAGAGAACACGCACGTTTTGACACATCCCTGAAGTCCTCTAATCTGGCTCAGATGTTCTGTGATCTCAGCAGAAAAGATTTCTCCTTCTCTTTAAGAGTTTCACAACCGTTGCCTCATGAGGACCACAACTTTGATCACTTGGCTTTAACTTTAGGATTGGTTTGCTATTGTCTGTGCTACACAACGCCTGTGTAAACTTTATTCTATCTCCACTGGCTGTGACCATATATGGTCAACGAGGCTCAAAGATTCCAGCCAGCACCCCTGCTGTCAGGGAGCATACTTGTGACCCAACACACACTCAGAAGGGAGGAATGCAGACGAGGATGTCTGTCTGTAGTGTGTTGATGTCTGACGTTAGCTTCTGCTGCAGAGACTCCAGAAAATATCCAGTAGCACCCAGACAATGAAAACACCCCCCACACATCAGCTAACATCAGTGATGCTGCACTCTTCAGCCCTATTTGTCACCAACAGCACATCAGTATTGGTATTTGGGATTTGTTTTGAGGACACATTTTGTTAACCTCTATAGTAAAAATGTTTTTCAGTTTTAGTCTAACTGACTCGTTACATAAACCAACACTAAAGCTAAAGGTTTGGGCCCTCTGGACCAAGACCAAGTCAACAGCTGGTTACTGTCAAAGGACACACACACACACACACACACACACACACACACACACACACACACACACACACACACACACACACACACACAGTGTGTTTAGACACCTTCATCATATGCATCATCAGAAGCTGCATATCTGAATCTGTAAATATCCAAGGCAACTACCTGCATCCATAAAGTTAAAGTCCCACAGCCATCATCACACACTGGTGAAATTCATCTCTGCGTTTGACCCATCCCCATGGAGGGGAGCCGTAAGCTGCAGCAGTGGCTGCGCTCGGGAACTATTTGGTGGTTTAACGCTCTACCATGTAACACTGACTCAGAATTACGGAGTCAGAGTTACTGTCATGAGTGGTTGTTCTGCAGCAGGACGGCCGGTGGCTAAAGGGAGCGACGCTTCTGCTCCGACTGCTCATCAGACATGCATCTGATCCTGGACTAGGGCTGGACGATACAGAATAATAGTATAATTTATTTTTTATATTGATTGATATCAATAATTATTTAAAAATATTTTTTAAATTGTAGAAAATATATTTGACGTGAAGCCCTGGCCATTTTGTTTTGAGTATTTTTATTTTTTTCTCTGCCTCTTCCCTCTGCAACATCTTGCTGCCTCATGCTCTGTTTTGGTTTGTTACCCTGTGTTACAGGTACCAGTCAAACTGATTTTTATTTAAAGCTTAATTAATTACCAGTATGGAAGCGCATTTTCACCACTCTGATTAAATGTTTTGACTTTTTTTTTATCAGAGTGGCGGGAATGGGCATCTGTGTTGCAGAAGCTTGCAGCAAAATGTTTTACCTCTGCAGGAACAAGCAGACCTTAAAGTAGGTTTTAGTGTGTTGAACAGAGTAAATCTGCGTTACCATCTGATCAAATCTATAGTAGCCAACTACAAACATCATCTGTGGTAACGCTACAAGCAACACGTGCCAGAAGCGTTAAACTTTTACAATAATAATAACCCAAAACTACTCGAGTTATTTTAACAGCTTCTGCCGTTCATTAATAACGGGAAGAGGTCACAGTGGTGAGTTTGGTTAAGAAATCGACTCTTCTGTTTTATAGCCGACTTCCTTCGAATTAAAAAGGGAAGTAAGTAACGCAAGCCGCGAACAGAAAGTGCGTGGGTCAACAAAAAAGCATGAAACGTCTTAGGTCTGATTCCTAACAAAACTAGCTCAATCAAAAGGCAGAGAACACGCATGAGAACATATGAATGAATATTTGAACTGAGGTTTTAATAAATCAGTAGAAATCTGGACCCCTGCTGAAGTAATCAGCTGGGCAGGTATCTGTGGGTTATCTCGCCACCTGCACGCGCTCGGCACACCTCAGGGCGTTCCCTGGTCACCGACCGAGGGGGTCAGCTCAGGAGAAAGCTTCAGCTTACCTTCTTCACTTCCTTCTCGATTTCCATCGTGACGGTTGTTCACAAGAAGTTAAGTCGGACTTGTTCTGAAGCGGCAGTCAAAAACTAGCACTGGAAAAAGTCAGGGAATAAAGACAAGAACAATCCTCCTTTCGCTGGTCCTGTCCTCCGCTGAACTGCACGCTCAATAAGTCAAGCCCGCTCAGGTGTGCAGTTTCCGGTCAAACCTTTCAAGATAAAACTATAGCACGCTTCATAAATCACCCATACCTTTTCATTAAAGTCATTCATCAGATCATAAAATGCCCATCAATCAGAAACTAAACTATATCATGAAACAAATGAAAGATAATTACAAACAGATGATGTCATGATGACCAAAACCCGGTGGACTTCCTGTTTTAAGCTTAGGGGTGAGGTTTACACATGAGATGTGAACAGAGTTTTTGTTACAGTTCAGATTAGAAATACACTGGTTATGGTCAGGGTTTGTGTGTGTGTGTGTGTGTGTGTGTGTGTGTGTGTGTGTGTGTGTGTGTGTGTGCGTGCGTGTGTTTGTGTGTGTGTGTGTGTGTGTGTGTGTGTGTGTGTGTGTGTGTGTGTGTTTGATTGTGAAGGCATCATTGAGTTGATTTCCGGTTCTGTGTGTATCCTTTTTCCATCTTGACACCTCTCTCCCCCGTCCCGTTCACTGGGAGATGTGGGGGGTGCTTCCGCCCTGACAAATTTTTCTTCTGTGAACTTGTCAGGCAGCCAATCAGCGAGCAGAAGGGGCGTGTCCTGAACTCAACAATGGACACAAACTGCAGTAGCCGACTGTTAGTCATTAGTAGATAAAGGCATGCTAAGGGATGAGTCTACAACACCAAGGCATGAAAGTAATTGCCCACAGGCCTGTACGAATGCAGACTGGCATTATGGGATGTGAAGCCACACACCACAGCTGTTTGTGGTTTTTACTCTACTTCTTGTCAAACAGCTGCTGGGCTGTCTCATTGACAGGAAACTGGTGGTTAACAGCTTCCTGTGAGTGCCGCTGCTGTCCTCAAAGGAAATGGCACGGTCGCACCCTGGCTGCTCCTACATGGTGTTATACTTTCTGCTTTTATCAGCAGCACAGCTTCTCTGCCATGTCTGCTCTGTGTGTTCTGCCATGTCATCACCTCCCAGCGTGTCAGCGCTATGTGGCTGTGCTGCTACGACGAACGATGCAGGAGGTGCTCCAAGGCTTCATTACACTGGAGGGGGGGACGTTTCCAAACAAAATCCTAAAGTGAACAGAAGACTGTGTTCTGTGGAATCAAATTTGGGTCAATTGTACATGTAACAAAATCCATAAGTGAGCATGTTTGTAACACATTTTGATTGGCTGCTGAAGTTTCTGTGGCTCATGGTGATCCTAGTAGAAAAGAGGGTATACTGTCTCGTTTTAAACAGAACAATGTGGAGCATAAAGCTGTGAGACCCGATTTGGATCTTTGTTGTGAGTTAGGTTTGTGGACAGCTTATCAGTTTTGAAAACTCCGGTCTTCTGCTGCAATCGCTTTGGTCCGAACATTCGACTTCAGCACAAAAGAGGAAGCCTTACTCTCCTAAAACTGCTGTTTCAGATCTAAGCTGAAGTTCTTTTCTTTATAAACCGTCATTAATGTGTTCATCGATGACAGTTTAGAAGCTCCCGGTTTTCTCCAGGGCCCACATATAAGGATCGGGAACGCTGTTGGCTTTCCAGGTAAGTCAGTGGGAATCCTGCAGCTGTTTTCCACGCCACTCTCTACTTGTGTTTGTTCAGCTCAGTTACATAACCCAACTACAGACTGACACATGCAGAAAAGGAGGTTTTAGTAGGTAAATTTAAGTTCTCTGGGTCGGAACAGGAAGGCTTTAAGTGGGTTTTCCAACAGTGCCCGTAAATAAAAACATTTTTAGTGTTAATGAAATTTATTTAAAATGTTCTTGTGCTAGTTGCCTCTATATGTAATACTTTTAATAAATAGATCCATCTTTTTTTGTATGTTCAGCAGCATGAAGGCCAAGGCTGAATATTAGAGGAGTAGATTCACAAATTTAAACTTTATGGATTTTTGGGTGAAATTCCACGAGACTTATGAGCTCTGGCTGATAAAACGTTACTCTTGTGCCTAAGAGTTTTCTCTGCTAACGTGTCCATCACAGTAACTCTGTCTGGCCTACAGCTGCAGCAAAAAGGAAGCAGACACACTGCGGACATGTTTACACGCTCTCTTGGCCTTCTGACCGACTCTTTGAGTGGTGTTGGCGTGACTGCATCACTCCACAGACGCCTCGTTTTCTAGACATGCTCACACATTATAAACATTAAAGCCCTAGATGAAGAATCCTTTGTAGGGGTCTCTGTTTGTGTAAAAACTGCAGAAGCCTTTTGGGGACATTCTGTAATCTTTCCAGGCTGCTGTGGGAACAGAAGCAGCCGGTCATCACTCTTGAACAAGGTCGAGGGGGCAACACGTGACCCCGTACACTCAGACATAAAAAGCCGGCCCAGCCAGCTTCACAGTGTTGGTCATGATGAGGGGGCTGCTCGCATTCGCCGCGCTGCTCGTGGCTGTTCTTGCCAAGGAGACGTTTGAGGGGTAAGTGGGCGTGGCCACCATATTTGGTGAAGGCTGTGGGCAGAAGTCATGTTAAAAATGATCCAATGGTAAAGCCGCTGCTTAGGAACCCAGTAGGAGCAACGACTGGAACACAGCGAGCGGTGTGGTTAGTTTTGCTGCTTTCTGCTGGTAATAAAATCCTCAGTCAGAACCAACGGGCATGTGAGGGCTCATCCAAACTACTGGTTTGTAACTGTAGCGGTGAAATGCCTCTGTGTGGACGCGCTGCACTGACAGTAAGAAAGCATTAGATTAGATTCAGTAAACCTGACCTGCTGCTGTTGTAGGTTAGTTCTGATACAGAATGTCATTTGGTGACAGGGTTAGGGTTAGGTTGTATGGGTTCATCAGTATTAAGCGTAATGCAGAAATCTAGAGTTTTACCCCTTTCATGTGTGAGTTTTTAGGAATCAGTAAAAATGACAGTCTTGATTTTTGTTTTTGCTAAGCCTGCCCCTGCCCCATGGAGCTCCATGCAATTTGAATTGAGACACACTCAGCACTAACCAATAGCGTTAGACTTCTGCTTACTTACAGATGTCAGTCACAGAGTGTGCATGAGTGTTGGAGAACATACCTAGACGGATGCAGGGTTGGCTATATTTCTTATGAACAGATATGTACGTATGAACAAACTGCATAATGTTTGAATAATAACTGAACAAGAAAGCGTTGCTTCCATCTGTAATCACAGAAGTATTGAGAGGGGCTAAAGGCGCAATACGTTTTTCTGCCTCTAGGTGGTGCTCTGTGAGAAAAACTCCAGATTTCTGCTTTATTGGTTCCATGGTGACTCTTTAAGGACTGCTCATCTAAGCCCACTGCTCGGCTTCCACAGTAAACTAATGTCAAACGTTGTTCCTCTGTTCTCTTGTAGGCATCAGGTGATCCGAATTGTCCCGAAGAATGAAATCGAGCTGGCTCTGATCAAGTCCCTGGAGGACATGGCAGAGTTCGAGGTTCATTTTCACACACTGATTTTATTTCTAAATCTTGTTGTGAGAGTAGAAAAAAAAAGCCAGACAGATATCTAAACACTTTTTTAAAAACACACATTCTTTGCTGTATTTCTTCCAGTTGGACTTCTGGAGGGGTGTGACGGATGTCTTCTCTCCCGTGGACGTTAGAGTTCCTGTTCACACCTTGCAGTCTCTCAAAAGTCATCTGGAGAACCTGGACATCAAGTTCTCCACAATGATTGAAAATCTGCAGGTATAGTGGAGCACATCAGGTTTACACTAGTCAAATTCAGAATAGGAGAATCTGTAAGTCAAACATGAAGGTTGTTTGTTCAGGCTCTCCTGGATGAGGAGCTGGAGGAGATGGATGCTGCTGTACACGAGGCTGAGCTGAGGAGCACTGACAGCTTTGATTACTCCAGGTACCACCCGCTCAGCGAGGTTAGTCTACACTTCCTCTGATCTCCCCAAATGAACTGAGTGGTGTAAAATAATACAAGCTCTACTAACGCATGTGTGTGTTTGAAGCAAGATTTTATCTTCTTTATAGATCTACAGTTTCCAGGACATGCTGGTGGCTGAAAATCCCAACTTGGTCAGCAAGATTGTGATTGGTCAGAGCTATCAAGGTCGTCCACTTAATGTACTCAAGGTAAAAAAAAAATAAATAAAAACACTCTGGACAACTCTCCTCATACCAGAGTTACTGGGGTGGGGTGGCTGTTGCACCTGATTAGTAAGAAAATAAAGTTCTCATTCACTCGTTTTTTAGTACATCTGCTGTTGGCTCCAGAGAAGATGAATGCCTTCACACACACACACACACACACACACACACACACACACACACACACACACATGCATGTGCACACATGTACAAACATGCACATTTATGTATGCACACACAAGCACACACACACACACACATACACACATACACAAATGCATGTACACACATGTACAAACACACACACGCACACGCACACATGCATGTGCACACATGTACAAACACACACACGCGTGCACACGCACACACACACATGCATGTGCACACATGTACAAACACACACACGCGTGCACACGCACACACACACATGCATGTGCACACATGTACAAACACACACACGCGTGCACACGCACACACACACATGCATGTGCACACATGTACAAACACACACACGCACACGCACACATGCACACACACACCCGCATGTGCACACATGTACAAACACACACACGCACACACACGCATACATGCACGTGCACACATACGTACACGCACGTGCACACACACACACACACACACACACACACACACACACACACGTACATGCATGTGCACACATGCACAACATTCTCAGTGTTTCATTTTTATGAAAAATAGAAAATATTATGTTGAGTTTTTCCCTGTTTTAACTTCCTACTTCAATTTCTTTAATCCTCTAATTTCTTTAGTATAAAGATTAAAGACCTTTAAACAAAATTACATATTTTATCCTGTGAATGCTGGCATCCCACAGAGAAACTTAATAAACACCCAAAGACAGAGATGAACGATTATTCTGAACAACAACTTCCTCTTTTGTTTCTAGTTCAGCACTGGTGGAACCAACCGTCCTGCTATCTGGATCGACACTGGAATCCACTCCAGAGAGTGGGTCACCCAGGCCAGCGGCATCTGGTTCGCTAAGAAGGTCACATGATATGTTTATCTTACTTCTCTGTCTCTGTAGACACCTACTGTAATGGCACCTTGACCTTTGCTTATGTCACTAGATAGTAAAGGACTATGGCAGTGACCCGGCTCTCACCGCCATCCTCAACAACATGGACATCTTCCTGGAGATTGCCACCAACCCTGATGGATACCACTACACCCACACCTCAGTGAGTGGGTCAAGATTAATATCAATCAATTTCAAAATGACCTGATTTAGCATTAATGCTAACGCGTGAGGATGCTTCTCAGAACCGTATGTGGAGGAAGACACGGAAGCCCAACCCTGGATCTTCCTGTGTTGGAGTTGATCCCAACAGAAACTGGGATGCTGGTTTTGGAGGTAAGGTGTTAAGATAACCCCACACTGCATTATGAAGCTGTAGTAATTAGATAGAATGACGAATAATCCGTGTCTTTAACTGCTGGTGGTTTCTAGTCCGGTAGAATGGCTATTAGGAGCACTGGAGCATTTCCCAATGGCCTGGCGCCTGAACTGTCCTCCCACGTGGACGTTATTCTATCATCTTGTCAGAACTGCCAACATGCTGGTTCGGTTTTTGAGACAAGCAAGGAAAATTTATGCTTTTGACTAGATTTTTCCTTTGATGAAGGAAAGCATGAAAAAGCACAGAATCAAATCAAATGTTTGTTTATTTATAGATTAAACACATAATTAAATCTACCATCCACCAGATTTAAATGCATCATATCTGACTCTGCTGCTGGTCACAGTGCTTCACTTCTGGCTACTTTCCTGCATGGAGCCTTTTAACCACACATTGACTCTCATCAGGTGTGTTGGTGCAGGCGGTGATCCCAGATGATCAGCCCTGCCGTGTGCTGCTGTCACAGTTCACTTCTTTTGTTGCCCACTAGGGGGAGTCAGAGAACGTTAAAAACTGTGCTGCTTATTTAACCTGATGTACTGCTGGTAGTTGAGCTGAGTGTTTCTGAGGATGACGTTTGCATCATGGTTTCCTCAACAAACGTTTCAGTTCCCCCATACCATACCGATTTATTTATTCAGCTCTGGGTTTGTCCTAGGACCTGGTGCTAGCAGCAGCCCCTGCTCAGAGACCTACCGCGGACCCAGTGCCCACTCCGAGTCTGAGGTCAAGTCCATTGTGGACTTTGTGAAGTCCCACGGAAACTTCAAGGCCTTCATCTCCATCCATTCCTACTCTCAGATGCTCATGTATCCCTACGGCTACACCAGGACTCCTGTTAAGGACCAGGCTGAGCTGGTACACTAAGCCTTCTGTCACTGACTTCTCTTTGAGGATTTATGTGATATTCAGACTCAGATGAGAAGATCTGTGTATTAATCATGCTGTAGTGTGTGCTAGCACAATGCCTCTATGATGCAAACAGTGGATAGATGCATCTTCTCTCATCACTGAGAAAAGGTGAACGAGTTTCCTGTTGATCTCCTGCAGCACCAACTGGCCCAGAAGGCCATCACCGACCTGGCCTCCCTGTACGGAACTCGCTACAGATATGGGAGCATCATCGACACCATCTGTGAGTTTCAGATCTCTGCAGTCAAACTCAAACCAGATTCAGTTCAGTCTTTAGAAGAAACACACAAAAGTACTCGCTCTGCTCTGACTACATTAATGTTTTCATCTCTGGGGTGAGAGATGCAACAGTAATGATGTGTTTTTATTCTTTAACTACAGATCAGAACTTTTTTTTAATTAAAAGTCTACACATCTGTTTTTAAAGCCTGGCGGCTGACTGATGAAATCCTACCTCCATCTTGCAGAAGTCAAACATTTCTAAACTGGATCATCTGTTGTGGTTTCTTAGAAACTGGTTTCATAATCTTAGGCAGGAATTTGCCCTCAGCTCACGCTTGTCAGGAACATTTCATAATTCGACAGGACTCCATACCCAGAACGCTTTGTGTTCTATTGACAATGCCGCTGAAATCGTATTTCTGTATTTGTAAACAAAACGAGGACCTGATCAGCATCTAAACATGGCAGCTGTCAGTATAAAGCCCCCCCCCCCCCCTTCAGAAGGGCTGTCCACTCAGGCGTCCTATCCAGATGCATTTTGACTTAACTTGATTACTATGCATGGCGGTACAGTTGTTAGCACGGTTGCCTCGCAGCAAGAAGGTTGCAGGTTGGAAACTCGGCTGAGGCCTTTGAGCGCGGAGTTGCATGTTCCCCCTTGCATGCGTGGGTTTACTTTGGTTTCCCCCACAGGTCACAACATACCCTATAGCTTAAAAATTGTACGTCTCTTTGGATAAAGGCATGTGCCAAATGAATGAACATAAACATACAATTCAATTCAAGGTTATTTATAAAGCGCCAAATCACAACAAGAGCCGTCTCAAGGCACACAGTAAACAGTAAACAGGTCAGTTCATTAAGCCAATTCAGCGGGAGGAGTACGTCAGGCTCCTTCTGCTGTAGATTAAATCCACTCTGACATGATAAATGTGATTATTATTTCACCAGAATTAGATATTTGGTCTGTAAATGTCACCCTACAACAACCTTATGTTGTGTTTTTTACTTTAGACCAGGCTAGTGGCGGCACCATCGACTGGACCTACAACCAGGGCATCAAGTACTCCTACACCTTTGAGCTGAGAGACACTGGTCGCTACGGCTTCCTCCTGCCCGCCAGTCAGATCATTCCTACAGCTGAGGAGACTTGGCTGGCTCTGATGACCATCATGACTCACACTCTGAAGAATCCATATTAGTGTGTGTGTGAGACCCATGAGGAGGATCCGCTGAATAAAGGTCTCCTTAGACAGGAAACCAAAAACTAAAGAAATAAAAACAAATACTCTGATATGTTTGTGTGGCTCATTTTATAGATGGAGAAATGGAAGATGAGTGGATGGATGGATGGATGAATGAATGGATAGACAGACGGATGGACAAAATGATGGATGAATGGCTAAATGGATGAATGGACAGATAGATGAATGGATGGATGAATGGCTAAATGGATAGATGGACAGGTGAATGAATGGATAGATGGACAGATGGCACTCAAGTTAGGAGCTCATCCTGTAACCAGTGGGTTATCTCAGTCATAAAACTCTCCTCATCTTCTCATCACCATCAGTGTGTGAACGTGTGAATGGGAATGTCGCTGACTCAGAACAGCATAACACAAATATGTAACATTTATTGAATTACTTTGGACCAAATGACTATAATATTCCCTGATTTCAGAGTGATAACCCACATATCACATTGCCGTAATGCCATGTTTGGATTTAATTTTCTGACCCAAGACATACAGAATCAAGACCACAAGAGACCGAGGTAAGATAAATAAATGATATTTAACTAAAGGAATACCCAGAGTAGGCGAAGAGTTATCAGTGCAGAAACTGGGTCTGAAAACCAGAGACTGGACCAGGGACCTTGGTTTGGGATGATGTGGTGGCTTCCATCCAAAGGTAAAGAGGCCTTACACTTTTTGGTGAGATGGGAAGGCTCAAGGGAGGGCCGGTCAGGTCTGAGGATGAGGACGGTCGAGCGAGCACCATGATTCCACGGAGAATGCAGGTGTTGGGTACCAAAGGTTCCAGGTTGGCAGGCTTGTGAGTGATGGAGTGCAGGACGGCGGGTGTGAGACACTCGAGATGCAGCTGGTTGTAGTATGGCAGGGGTGATGAAGACTGATGAAGGAACCTGAGACAAGCACAGAAGTAAAACTTGAGCATAAGCAGATTTTTTCTGGACATTTCCTGAAACTAGAGAGGCTGACGAAACCCAAGGAAGGTACTACAATATTGAGTAACCATCCAGCGGTGTGTTGTTGTCTCACTCCTCCTTTTAAGCTGTGCTGTGAAGATGGAAGTTCTGCAGCAGCGGGTCCCGTTCCGAGGCACCGCCCACCTGCAACTAAGCACTCACATGCAGTTATGGGGAGGCACCCACCTCAGAACCTGACACGTGTCTCTGCTTTACCCGAGAGCGGAGAGGTTATTTTAACATGATTAAATGACACATCCCTAAAACAACACTAACAGATTTTCTTTAGGTGGCATCTGCACGGATCCGCTGTTTAGAAGACTTGTTCTCCTGGTTCGTTTTTAAAAACAGAAACACAGATTTGCTGAATGTTCTGTCTCTGGGAACCAGGGTCTAAATAGTTGCATCTCTGAGGAAATGTGTAAGACAAGCTAACATGAAATCACCTTCTTCTTTCTGGGTAATGTGAGCAAATCTCCTTCTTGGTGTGACTCTGGAACCTTCAGCCAATGGAATTAGCCGCTGGTGGTGACGTGAACACATGAATCAGATCACCCCCACATTTAAAAGACTGGTTGAACAAAGCAGGGCGACACTCCGGGTCATGATGAGGGGGTTCTTCTCATTTGCTGCTCTGGTTATGGTCGCTCTTGGAAAGGAGGTGTTTAATGGGTGAGTGGGTCTTTTAATCCTTGGAGATGAGTGAGTGTAGCAGCGTGCAACGGTAAAAGATTCAAGCAGATGACAAACGTTTCCTGTTTCACGTTAGGATGTGCAGAACCCACACTAACCAGCACCGACCGTCCAGGATCTCTCTGGATACGTTCAGCTCATAAACACATTAAATACTATTATGATCATTCTAAATGTTTAAAATTGTAATCAATAAATATTTCAGAGATGATGCTTTAAAACTTTGGTGTCAAATCCAATATTACTATTTAAAAAATATTTAAAGGTTGAACATAGAAAACAAAAAACTATATTTAATAAATAACTCCACAGGGTGTTTAGAGGGATGCAGCATTTCCTTTAGAAAGTGTGTTTTAATTAAAAAACAATCAAATGTTTGTTTTGACGGGCATGACACTGGGTTTATGTTTACATCTACCAGCCAATAGATGGCGCCATTGGGTTACCAAACAGTCTGCTCAGCACAGCGAGGCTGACACTGTGGTGAATGTCAGACTCGGCAAGTCAAGCAGCTGCTTGTTATCCTTCTCAGAAGAGAAGCGGCCGCAAAAGATCTAAAACCAGAGTTTAGGTGAAGCCACAACAGATGGACCCAAATAAAACATTTCACATATCAGCAGCAAACCTGGAATCCCGACAACTGAGAACCTTGTTCTATTGTTGCAACTACAACCTCCACACAGTTGGTGTTCGTCTTCCATATTCTACCTTTAATCTTTAGTCTGCATTTGGGTCAGGTTTTATTTATGTAGCACCAGATCACAGCTGGAGTCATCTCAAGTCACGTCACAAGGTAAGCAAGTAAGAAAATACAAGCTTACATGATCATTTTCATTATTGTTGTTATAACATTTTCACTGATACTTGGAAGATGCCGATAAAACTATTTTCTTATGTTTTTCAGCCTGAATGTTTCTGATGGGACTATTTGCCCACAGTCCATAAGAACTATTGGGACTGTCCTCAATGAAAATCCAAACATTCAAATGTAGAGCGTTCTCCATGAACTGCATAGAGAACATTCTATAAGAAAGGAAGATGAAAACAGACGCTCTGTGCCTTGTATACAAGGGGTTCATCTGTATTTTTGGGATCAGGTGGTGAAATGTTTCTGGACTGATGACAGAGCATCAGTAGACTGTTTCTCCATGGTTCCTCATGGTTCCATCAGTCCTTTCCTCCTGGAACCACCATCTTAGCTTGGTGGAGGACTTTGAGTGTCCCAAGGATCCTGAGAATGTTGCACTTTGTCCCTGGTGAGGTCTGGTCCTAGGTCAGAGAGCCCAGTCCAGAGGGTCTGTCATGGTGCCCGGCTACAGCACTAAGTTCATGACTTTACAGGGGGGGGGGTCCAATACCAGATTTTATTCCCTAAAAAATGACATAATCGTTAACAATTGCATTACATCTTTGTTGTTTTGGTATCTTGTCTGGATGCGTGTTCATTTCACCAATAGGATTTTTATTTGAAGTGTTTCATAAAGATCTTCAGGACTTTATGGTTTCCTTCGTTGCCTCTTCAAACACGTGAGCCTGATAGTGCCGCTGTGCCTTGGGAAAGAAAAACCAGTAAACTTACACAACTCCTTGTGTGTCAACAGTTTGTTGAGCAAAAACAGTGTTGTCCTCCTGCAGGCATCAGGTACTTCGGATTGTTGCAAAAGACGGTGCTCAGCTGTCGCTCATCAAACACCTGGAAGATCGGACAGATTTTGAGGTTATTATCAGCATTTAAGAAGAAATAAAAGAAAAGGCAAATTTAAAAGTGTAAAACGTCTGTGTGTTCCTTCAGCTGGACTTCTGGAGGAGAGCAACCTATGTGTCCTCTCCTGTGGATGTCAGAGTTCCTTCCCACAGCCTGCATTTTGTCAAAAGTTATCTGGAGAAGCTGGACATTCATTATTCCATCATGATTGAAGACCTGCAGGTATGAGACCCAGAGACAGACGAGGAGCCCAGGTTTACTGAGTGGTCAGTATTTTTGACCATCATCTAACCGGTTGTTCTGCAGGTGCTGCTGAATAAAGAGCAGGAGGAGATTCATTCTGCTGCTCGAGCGGCTCAGCTAAAGGACACTGATAGCTTTGACTACTCCAACTATCATACGCTCACGGAGGTGAGTCCACACAGTTTATCAAACAGTTGGAGTGAAATGTTAACCTTCAGATGATCCCAGAGATGATTTTCCCATGAAGCTGGTTGGCAGGAGCCTCGTTCCTCAGTATTAAAAGTTTCTACAGAATCTCTGATGTCTAAAACATCAAACCTCCACATCTACAGGTCAGCTGAAACAAAGCATAGTTCTTACCCTCCCATCATTCTTGGGGTCAGTTAGACTTTTCCTTATTTGGTGTGACTGATCATAAACTTTTTGTGATGATATCTTTTCTGTTCACATTTTGCATACATCTGTGCTCATCCAGTGGCGAATTTAGCAATGTTGGGGCCCAAGGCGAACACAGACATGGGACCCCCTTACACTAAATTTTCGACAATCTTACCTTTAACTGGATTAGCGAAACTCTCCCCTCTTCTGCGATGAGTTATTTTCACCTTTTATTAGTCCTCCTCTTTTTTCCTGTCTTTCTCTCCCTTTGAGTGCCTTCAATATTTGCCCTGCTTTCTTCTTCCTGTCAGTGCTCCTGTGCTTTTGCCTTTCTTTTTTTCTTCTATTTTCCATTTTGGCCTACCGTCATTTCCGGACTGTAGAGCGCACCTCAATATAAGCCGCACCAACAAAAAAAAAGAGGTTTTCTACACACACACACACACACACGCCACACTCAAATACAAGCCGCGGTGCAGCAGCCACATGCAGGTCTCCGGCACACAGCGCATGTACGGCCATGACATAAGATAATTAGACAGAAAGCCGCTACACGGAGGTTTTTCATTGTTTTAATTCAACAAAACGAATTTTAAACACAGGTGAACACTGATAGCATTCATATTTCTGGATGGTTATAAAATAAAAACAGAACTGACCGGGCTCGGATGTAGGCATGGACAAGGAGGGGCAATGCCCCCCTAAAAATAATGACTGCCCCCCAAAAGCGATGACATGTAGAAATCCCAAATTTGAAAAGATTTGATGAAAAACGGTCAGAGTGCCCTCCCCTCTCTCTCGCTGCTGCTGATTGGTAGATCGGTCACTGGAATTATTTGGTTACTCTTTCTCAAGGTTTTAGTTTGCCTCGTTCTCTTCTTTCTTTTGTTTTTGAAGTGAACCGAATCAACATGCGCAGGTTTCTGGTGTCTAAACCGAGCTACAGTGCTAAGGCACTGGCGGCAGAAGCCGGTTTGTCGGGTGCTGCTTCTCAACTCGAAAAAAACAGATACTACGTAAAAACTATTGGAAAAGTAGTTCAGTTCCTAGCAGTAACTGAACTAGTGCGGAAAGCTCCAGTGGTGATGATTTCTCTGCAGGACTGTTCTTATAAATGGTCGACTACACACTGGCCAAAGACTCCAAATTTAATGAAATAAACACACACATCCCAGAAAATGCAAAATACACATCTCACAACATACAAAACAAAATTATTGCAACACTGGCAAAAATGGTATTAAAAAAGACCAAAGATAATTATGACAGAGCAGATTATGCTGGGTTTGCATTAAAAGTGATGGAACAATAGGGACAGATGCAATGTGGAGCGTTACGTCCCCGACATGTGTTGTCAAAATGTGAAGGAGGGGGTAACATAAGAGATGTGACAGTGGATTTGAAACGGGTTTGAGTGCCATAAAAAGGTTTTAAAAACAAGCGAGCAAGCAGATGGAGAGCATTATTAAAATACTGCCTAACAAAATCAAGACTAAAAGTTTAACATTTAAAGGACCACTTAACATTTAAACACCTGGTTAAAAATTTTACCGAAACAGAAGGTGCTTTTAAAAACACAAGTTGATAATAAAAACTGACGCACTACGAACACAGTGTGCTTTAAAATCCCAAAGTCGGTAAACTACGATGTTAACCTCAAAACCAGTACATAAACCAAAATGATCACATGGATCTTCTAAAACACTCAAAAGGGGTTTAAAATAAAGCGTAAGGCCCGGAGAACAGCAGAACCCCTAGACTGCTGCCCGCTGACGTCATTAGATCCATTTTAGGGGGGCTTCAGCCCCCCTAAAATAATCACAAGCCCCCCCCCCATCATTTTGGGTTTTTTATTTTATTTAATTTTTTTCTGCCAGTTTTACTTTCACAAGTAAACCATTACTGCGTTCGCTGTAATAGTTTACTTGTTCATTGTCTTTACTTATGAATTTATTTTAGTAAATATTTATTTTAGTAAAATACAGCTTTAAAAGATCATAGATGAAAAAAGTAAAGGAACATTTTTGATAAATTTGATCCCCAAATGTAGTTAAGATAGATATGAAAACGAAGAGAACAAAAAAGTGGACACAGTACTAGGAATTTCCTTTGGCAAAATTGTGCACATGCACAAAATTAGTCATATGGCGGAGACTAAAACAATTTTGATATTGCCCTAATTATTCCCTTTTTTTTCTTGCGCCCCCATGAAAAAATATTGGCCCCCCTGGAAAATTTGGTCTAGAACCGACCCTACCAGTCACCATCCACTGCCTGCAAAATACTTTGTTGTAATTCATGTGTCATGATTAGGGTGACCATATTTGACTTCCAGAAAAGACACATTGCCCATTCCTAAAACTGTTAAATTGCACTCTTTTCAGTTAAAGAGGACTTTTAATTTCAACATATAAAGTGTTTCTTCTCTGTTTGGTTAGACAAAAATGATCCTTTGATGTGTAAAAGGAAGTGAACAGTGGAAATGTCCCAGGAAAAGAGGAGGGTAAATCAACCTAATTACCGTAAATCCTCTAATACAGGCCCGGGCCTGTATTTGACTCAAGCTCATCAAGCTCCAGGCCTTTATTGGAAGGAGGGCCAGTATTAGAGGCAGGCCTCTATTTCTATTTGAGCAAAATGAACTAATGGTCCGCTGGAGTGTTTGACAATTAAAATTGCGCCCACATTTTCAAAGTTAAACACATATCTTTTAACAACGGTAGTTTCTGCTTCAGCCCTCTCCCCCCTCCCCCTGCGCAGCGGCCGCAAACTCACTGATGCGCCTGCAGCCTCTCGGAGTTCCTGCTGCTCTAAACATTAAAATAATTATTTCATTTTCTGTTCCTCACTTCTGATTACCTTCAGTGGTGTCTGTTTGTTGCAACCACCAGGTACAAAAACTAACTTGTTTTTATTTGACTATTTTTCTGTCCTGCCTGTTTATTATCTTCCTGCATCTCCTCTCAGTCCTAAAGAGAAACTGCTACCTGGGTTCATATATATTCACCTCATGAGTTACCTTTGAACTGCAGTTCTAAAAGATCTACCGACCGCAAAAATAGCAGAGTGCTCGCTGCTTGGTGGCCGCATCAGTGATCGGTGCGTCACCGGATGACAAGGTGATGTGCCCCGCTCCACAGCGAAACGCATCAGGCGCAAATAAAAGACAGAAAACATCAAAGGAAATGAACCGACATGAACGATCGCATGTTAAATAATTTTTTGAGGTGGCGACACCTGATTGTTACTGCCGTGCTCAGGAGGCAGATCTACCGACCGCAAAAACAGCGGAGTGCTCCCTGCTTGGCGGCCGCATCAGTGATCGGTGCGTCACCGGAGGACAAGGTGATGTGCCCAGCTCCACAGCAGCGAAACACATCAGGCGCAAATAAAAGACAGAAAACATTAAAGGAAATGAACCGACTTGAACGATCGCGTGTCAGTACCGACGCTCTGGCACAGCGCGTCACCCCCCCCCCCCCCCCCCCCAGCGCAGGAGCTTGTCACCTGCTGACAGCAGGCTGCTGTCTTTTCCGAGGGCTGCATCTTGCCGGTCATTATCACGTGACAGCGACTAGTCGATGACAGGCATAAAAAGTCACTATAGAGCGGTGAAGTCGACTAGTGACTAGTTCATACAACCCCTACTGCTCCCCAGTGTTCTGCAGCGCACGTTCTCTTTGAACTTGATATCAAATATTCGCCTCCTCTTCGTCTCCGCACGGTTAAAGTTACCCTCGCGGTCTATCACTGGCAAATCAAAAGTGAGACGATGACACAACCGCCCCCGTACTTGCTTGTTACCACATTCCACCCGGCCACAATAAGAGACCGGCCATTATTCACCTCCACCGACTCCGACACCAGCCAAAATTGGAGACCCGGCCTTTAATTGAATACCGGCCTGTATTAGAGGATTTACAGTAAATGTAATTATAGAAAGTCCTCTTTATCTGAAAAAAGTGCAATTTTCCTGGCAGTATTTCCTGGACATGCTTTGATTGCATAATGGAGAGCTGTCTGATTGGCTGGCGGAGAGGCTACATTGCTTTAAAAATTGCAAATTGAGCAACAGCAGGAAGAGATCTGTGCAGGCAGAGATGGAGTTGAGCATGCAGAGAGAGGGCTGCACATGACTACAGAGCAGGTTGTGCTCTTGCAGATTGATCACTGCACGCTCCAGTTGGTGGCACAAAAATCACTCCACACTTAAAACCTGAATCTGAATATGGCCGAATGTGTATATTATTGACCATTTTTCTATGTTACATTTTTTTTCTATTATATATATATATATATATATATATATATATATATATATATATATATATATATATATATATAATATTATAGGTACATATATGTATCTATAATATAGTAAACAGCCAGTTTTATATATGTCACATATATTCAAAAGCTACATCAAAACATATATTAAAACCTATATGTTTATATGAATTCTTTCCATGTGGGTTGTCAGTTGCTTAATATTTCCTATGTTTACCTATGGGAAAGAAAGGAGATATTGTACTCGTCTAACTTTAACATAAATTTTGGCAGCTTAATGTGACGTTATGGAAAATGCCATCATCATGAGCAACCAAACATAGGCTATATTAGGCTAACAGTTGTCTATATTCTGTCCCATTTATCACCAATGGCTGTTTCAATTATTGTGAGTGAAAACTAAATGGCATAGTAGCATTTGTCTTGGCATTAGAAATTGAAAATGTTTTTCAATGTGTTGGCTAGATGGATATACGAAGATTTTTTAAGAGAGTGAGTGAGGA